ATATATATATCTATATATATATATATATATATATATATATATATATATATATATATATATATATATATATATTGTTTTATTGAATTTGCTTTATGATATCCTTTTTTAAAGTTACGTTTCCGCCAGAAGCAGCCAGCAACTAGCAGTAGAATAGATGATATACCACATGGGTTATTAACCTTTTGCTTTACCACTACAAACCTCTGAGGCAATATTTTGAAGATCCCTATATCTTGTATATGTTGTTCGTCCTACGCATGCGAAGATGATCAAAGCTATATTCAACGGTGAGCACGCAATGGTCTAGCCAGTCTAATTTGTGACCGGGAAGCGTTCCCGCACGTAGGACACGTGTTTTGGGGTCCTAGTTGTATTTGAGTCGATTCTGCTTGATATTCATAGTTCAAGCCCATATTATACATAGCTCGTTTTAATACAATGGCACGGCTGTTGGGGGGGGGCGTCTATCTCCCCTGAGTGGTTGAAACCAAACTCCTCCATCCCCTATGGACCTTGGTCAAAGTCAATTCTGCATGTTTTTGCTTGCAGTGTTTCATACAATTTCTTCGTTGGAGGGGAGTCGGAAGACCGATTTGCCTCGGGAGACCCCTTTTTATGGAGGGCAGCAATTTCGGCTATCTACAGAGTCTTTTTTCTCTTTTCGTGTAGGGGAGATCCAAAAATTCTTACCCTAGCTAGTGCAACTATCAGAGCCAAGATTTTGCATAATGACGACTAGGGCTAACTTAAACTCCGCCCCCTAGTTTGACTAAAATAAATTCATTTCGTATGAGACAACTCTTTTATCCCTTGCTCCTTTCACTTAAACTTGTAATGCAATATAGATTATCTTAAAGGAAGGGATGCTGTCATAAATTTAAAAAAAACTTTTTTGCCGTTTTCCGCAATTATCAATATAGTTTTTGCCTACCCCATGGTGTGCGATTAAAAGAGAATGAGAACCGCTGCCTTATGGTATGCTTTTGTTCCCAGCTAAGTGTTGGTATTTTTTTTTTTTTAATTTAAAATGGTGCAGAGACTGTCATTTTGATTGGGGAAGTTACGACATAAATCGACCCCCAAGCGAAAGTGGGGAATGGTCTGTTAACCCTTACAAATACATTTTTTTAAAAAAATTCAAAATCAAGTGGTGCATTTTGGCAGCATTCAGTTTTCTTTCCGAAAATTTGATCCAGGGAGGGGACATTTCAGGAGCTTGGAGTTGGGGGGGGGGGCAGGAAATGAATCAGTGCACAAATCAGCCATTTATGGCATCCAGTGCCATACATAACCTGCATTCATTCCAGCTGTGGCACAACACAGCCAGAGGGTTTCTTTCAGGCATACCTCGGGGGGTGTGGGGTGGGGGGGCACTACATCTAAGAGGCAATTAGTAATTTATCTGAAAAAAAAATATTTTAAAATTTCAAATAAACTTTTTAATCAACTGAATATTGGGAAATTCATACTTGAGTTTTATACGATTTCCTTCATTTAAAAATCACACATTAATAAATTTATAATGTTATTTTCTAAACAACTTATGTTTTCTTTACATAATAATCCCCTTCATAAACGATTTAGACCGTTTTGATAACCCATAAAAATACATAGTTTCTTTTCTTTTTGACCCTGTTTAGACTTTGAAATATTTAGAAAATGTAATTATTATAGATAAGTTGTTTTTTTCGTTTTTTTTTTTTTTTTTTTTTTTTTTTTTTTTTTTTTTTTTTTTTTTGTTTGCGTTCAACAAGTAAAAATGATGCTCATCATGTCCCTTAGTCCTTGGACCGTTGGGGCGCCACAGATGACATGTGAACTATCCTCCTCCATTCGTCTCTGTCTTCTGCACTGCGCACAGCATCGCCCAGTGTTAGTCCTGGCCACTCTTTGATGTTATCCTCCCATCTTTTTTCTTTGTCTTCCTCTTCTTCTCCCTCCTCTTATGGTGCCCTGCAATATTTCTTTGGCAAGCCCTTGTTTCCTTGTTACGTAGCCGTACCATTGTAGTTTGCGTTTTTTCACAGTCACCAGTAGGTCATCGTGCTCCCCAATTGCCCGGCGAACCCTTTCCTTCTCGGTATCATTGGAGATATGGTCCCTATAGCAGATGCCAAAAATGCTTCTGAAGCATTTCATCTCTATCTCCTTTATTTTCCTTTCAAGATCGGCTGTTAATGTCCAGGATTCGCAGACATACAGGAAAATGGAGAGGACTAATGAGCGCATCAGCCTTATTTTGGTGCTGGGGGCTATATTTGTGTCATTCCATATTTTCTTGAGCCTCTTTAGTACTGTTGTAGTCTGTGCAATCCTGGATGTTAGCATTGCCTTTTTGAGATGGAAAACCTTTTTTTTGTTTTATTTAAATTTTTTTTTTTTAATTCATTTGTTTACTATTTATTTAACCCCCAAAATGTTTAAATACAAAACAAAAGCCACATTACTATTTAGTAAAATAAAGAAGATATTTGCAAAACTTGAGCAGAGTCGTCGCTTGACCTTTCGAGGTCCCTTTTGCCACTTTTTGGTTTAGTCTCTTTCTTTCTTCCCCCCTCCCCCACATGGCATCCAAAGACAATAAGTAAGAAATATCCTCATCACATCTTTAAGCCTCTAAAATATCCGAGGCCCACTGCAGTCATAAGGGTTCTTCTTCTTCTGTATATTAAGGGCCCACAATCAATTTATTGATCATTTTGGCTCCTATGCATGTAGAGGGGATTTGCAATGTTTCTGTGCCTGGTGTTGATGAGGACATTTCACTGACTGCAAATGCCACTTTGTGAGGGAATCATGCACTGGGGGTTTGAAGGCAATAGACACAAATGAATCTAGTGTTGTCACCTCAACTGTTGAAAGCTTGCTCCAGTGCCTGATTGTCTTGGGCAGGATGAGCAGCTCCTATACTGGCTTCTTGCTGGTATGAGCCTGATTTGCCTGAAATGGCCTCGTCACTGGGCTCACATGATGTTTCTATGGTTAATCAAAACCTATATTTTTTTAAAACTTGCATCTCTTCTGTTGCTCTCCAATTAAGTGTAGAATTTTTCAAAACTAGATTTAAATTATTTACTAAAATACATTCTTGTATTTTGAATTTATCAAAAAAATTCTGGGGACTAGTGTACCGGTATACAAATTTAAGAGGCGATAATAAGCAAGGGAAAATGCATATCCCCAAGGGTGCTATAACTGGAATGAATTGAGTTCGTGTCCCCCTGGTGCGATGTTAAAAATATTTTTGATCATTATTATGGCTAATTTTGGTGCTTCCCACGCGAAAGTTTGAAATGTCACCTCAAAATTACCCGAAATAAACACTAAATTCAAGTATGCACCAAAAATACACACCTGCATTTTGAATTTGCGTGACTGTCTTCGGCACCCTCAATTTCTGTACCCCGTTCCCTCACGCTGATCAGTGTTACAGTATGACTTTGAACATAAGCTTGGGCCACATGATTATCCTTGGGCACGTCAAAACGGGGTGAAATCAGTTTATGTATGGCACTGGCACCAAATCCCTCCACGGACCCTTAAAAATGTAAATCCCCCTGATCAAAAAGTCTAATGGAAACATTGAATTCAAATATACTCCAAAAGGCACCTCTTGTTTTGAAATACTTTTTTTTTAAATGGGAGAAGGCTACCCAGTCCACTCTAACGCTCAAGATTTATCTTACTTATAAGATACTTATGCCGTTTACCCGTCTGGGGAATAGGCCATCTACAAGAATTTTCCATTTATCTAAGTCATGTGCTTTCCTTTCCAATAGCTTCAAGGTGTATCCCATACTTTGTGTGTCTGCCTCTAGCTCACGCCTCCATGTCTTTTTAGGGCCTCCTCTCTTTCTTTTCTTTCCCAGTGGATTTCATGTTAGAGCTTGTCGGGTGATGTTATCTGGAGGTTTGCAGATAGTATGCCCTATCCACCTCCATCTTTTCCTTATGATATCTTAACTAATAGGATCCTGGCAAGTCCATTCTAGTAAGTCTATGTAGATGATGGTATTTTGCCATTTGATGTTGATGATCTTTCTAAGGCAAGTGTTTATAAAGGTCTGTAATTTATGCGTAATGCTTGCTGTTGTTCTCCAAGTTGGGTCTCCATGGAGTAGGACTTCTGTGTTGAAAATTCTTACTTTAGTTTGAAGAGTCAGCTCCTTTGACTCTCACGTTTCCTTTAACAGCACAAACGCTGACTTAGCCTTGCCAATTCTAGCACTGAAATCCGCTTCGGATCCACCATTTATGTCAATGGTGCTGCTGCTTAAGTAAGTGAACGCCTCCACTTATTCTTCCAGTGCAAATACTCATGGTTGGCTGAGTTTAGCTTCATGATCTTTGTCTTGCATTTACTTATATAAATAAAACCAAGATTCACATGGGCCCTCAATTTCTGCCCTACATCCGGATGAAAATGATCGCTAATTTTGGTGACGATAGATAGTGGCGTAGCTAGTATTAACGCCACCATGGGCGGCCAAATATTTTTCACGATACAAACTCTGCATTTGTCCAAAAGGCCACACATCCATATAACGAAAAAGTGACACCCGAATGAACAAACTCATACCTTAGCTACGCCTATGGACACTGCCCTTTGGTAACTGGCACTTCCCCCCTACCCCCGAAAATCTGACCCCCCCCGGGGGGGGGGGAGAATTTCTGAAAGAAACACTGGCCACAGGGTATTCTTTTGGATTCTCAAAATACAAGGGTGCATTTTTGGGCATAATTTAATTTAGTTTGACACCTTTCTACAATTAATCGGAGAGCAACACAATTTAGGGGAACACTTGACCTTGTTGTATTTATACAAATACTATATGTTAAGTTCATACTAACTAGTAATTTTGTTTTTAAACGTTTATTTAAACTATGTATTTCGTTAAACAACATAATTCATAAATGATTTTTTTTTTACAGCCGTCCGTCACCTAAAGCAACTATAATTTATAATAATCACCTTTCCCAAAATAAATAAAATACCAGCCAACCCTTTTTGGAGCCATTAACTAGTCTAGCACCCGGGGTCGCCATTGGGATAAGGCGGCACTTTTTTCTTTATTGTGAAAGGTGCGGAAAACATCGTGCTCGAACCCCGGGCGACACTAACCGTAACAATGCCACCGAGGCGAGGAAACCGACTTTAATATAAGGATTAACTTAATTACCAATTTTTTGCTTTATCTGGAATCCTTACACTTTTCTAACCATATTTCTATTTTACATATAAATAAATGTTATCGTAAGGCTTTATATACTGTTTAAAACAAAAAATTCAGAAAATAAGATTTTAATTATTTTGTTAAAAATGCGAATATATTTGGTATACCCATTCATAAAAGCATGAGTTCTAGATGTAACAACAGCAACAAAAAAAAAAAAGGACCATTTTGAAAAATCATTTAGGTACCTACTTGAATAAACACCAGGCAACAGGAAAGAAAGTAAGAAGTAATTGATAAATATTAATATTTTATTTGGGACGCTGAAGGCGGCTGAACTCCAATGATAACCAAATTTGGTGCGCACACTGACAAGGGACACAGTCATGTCATGAGAGTGACAGAGATCCCCTTATTTACTTAGTTTAGTAACTTAGTAAGAGAAAATTTCAATAATATTATTAATAGTAATAATAATAGTTAGTAATTGGCAATAGGTTAGACGAGCAGGGTTACCTAGTTAGTTAGTAATTAATAGGCTAGAGCAGGGTTACGTTGTTTGTATTGTTAGTAGTAGTAATAGTAATAATAGTCATGATAGTATACTATATATATATTATATATAGAGTAATAATAGTCATAGGCCAGAACAGGGTTTCTGATACTGGTCTGCTGTTACTTAACTGTTACATTACTTGTAGGAAGTGGACAGCACTGTGACTCACAGAGCGTCACGGCGAGCGGTTTTTGCTAGGCCGCAGCTAAGCTTACAATTAATTACAAGATTTTCTGGATGCCAAGTATGGACTCGAAGGCTCACACTCACAGCTACCAGAGTTGGAGGCATAGTGTGGGTGGGGTGTTGTGCTTTATTTCCTTCTGTGCATCAATTTGTTACAAACTATTGAGATAATTTTGCGGACCCATGAATATCTTTAAAAAAATCTCCATTCTCAATAAACATAGTAAAACTGAGGAAATGTTAGATCAAAGTTACACTGGACAATCAAAACATCTCTCAGATTGGTTATTTTCAGCTGCGTTTTCTCAGGCATCCAAAAGTTTTTTTATGTGAGAGAAAGGCTTGCTCCACAGGTGCATTTTTCATTTGTGCCAGGAAGGCTGAATGAAAACTCAAGCAGTAGTTGCAAATTTACAGTGGTGACATCATTTGCTTTGACATGTTGAACATACAGTGGATGAAATATTACTGTAATACTGCTACTTCTGAGTACTATTTAAGCGATATCTAGCGAGTTCATTTGAGAAAAGACATGGCAACATTATGACCATAATTCCTACAAAATATTGCGTGATATGTTAACAGCATTCGAGATAATTATTCCATTTTTGGCCTGTCAGAATTTCAGGATGATTATTGTACAATGTTTCGCAAGATGGAGCTTTTACTATTTATTGCGCTGGCCTTTCCCGAGAAATAAGATAAGATAAATGAAATAAGACAAGCAAGTCATGGCTGCCAAAAGTACGGACTAGCGGACGACGAATGGAAGTATGGATAAATACGGACGCAATAATTAGTATGGACAAGGGGGTGGAAAATAAAAACTGTCAGTACTAAATACAAACACCTGGTAACTATTTTTTTGCACTTGAAAGTTGAATCATATCCAAAGTCAAAGGCAAACACCCTCATCTGTGGAAAAGTTGTCTGCCACAAAACCAGTCACTGGTTCAAAAAAATATCAAGGAACGTTTGGTTGGAGAACAAAATAATTGTAGCCTATAGGATAGTAATAATAGGCAGGCTTAGTTATAATTTAATAGTCTTAATTTATAAATTTCGTAAAAATAAATGCATGAGACTAGCACTGACCACTCATGTGATAACCTCTAAACTGTTAGGCCTATCCATAATGAGACATACCTGGCGGATTGAAGTCTAAGTCCAGCTTTATAATGGATTATCTATAGAAAATGAGAAATCTGTTAAACTAATTTGACTAATGAAGGCTTTATAAAATAAAAGGCATTTTATTTATTTAATTCATGTCACAGATAAAATGTAAAAAAAAATTATGTAAAATTGTGCATATGCCTTTAATATATTTTAATCACGGGGCTCTGTTTTATCGCTGCCTCCAGGTATTTTCCAGGTTTTGAATACCCTGCATTTCCGGGTAATAATTTTTTTTGTTACTAAATTATTTACCTGTTATTTCCCCATTCAGGGATGACTTAAAAACACATTGTCAGTGTGGTTTTCAAAATGCAAGCATATTCCGATAATTATTCATAAATTTAATTTTTTTCATGAATTTTGATAAAGAATTTGACATTAATACGATTTCTTATGCTGCATATCCTATGAATCGTTAGACTATGTCTGCAACCCTCAGATAATTGTTTTGTTGCGTAACACTGAAAATAAAATTTTAAATTATTAGATTAGAACAAAGTTAATGAAGAAATACAAAAATATATAGGCTTCGTGGCTCCTCTGTTATTATAAAAACTCTTCCTAGCACCTCCTGAAATGCCTCTTTAGGGGTCCGAGCAACCAATGTTAGGAAACCCGGATATAGTATAGACATAGTGTCACATAGTCATAGACCACAAATGTTTTTTTTGCTGTAGCTTTATTTTTTTGTTCTAGTACAATTCCTTAAATGGTTGTTGTTTAGGAGCATTGAAAAAGGAAGTATTTGAATAGTTAAAGCCATATAAATAATGAAATATGTTAAGTCTCTTTTTAAAAAAAAAAAGTTAATAAACATTTAATAAACTACACTACATTACATTTGTACTAAATTTAAAACCCTACAAACCGACTTTGCCCTAATGAGACTTTAACAAAAATGCTTACACATGGATATAATGAAATGGGTCATAATTGATAAAGTCTTGCACAAGTAAGCCTACTGTAAAACATAGTCACAGCTTTCGCTGACTAAGTTTGACAATTGATATTTATATTTTGAAAATTTAAGTTGATGTGTGAAATATATTTTATCAATAAAAAACCAATTCTAGAACAAAAAGAGAAAAATAAGTAGATTAAAAAATTAATGTGGATTAGGTAACTGACTTGGAATCAAGACTAAATGCAGCTGTTAGTCCATCTATTTGCTCTCCCTATCATGGCAGTAAATGAAACAGACTAAATTAAAATCGGTTCAATTGCTTTACTACCTTGATAAACTTAGCCACATATATTTTTGATTATATTTTGTATATATGAGTATTATATTTAAAACTTAAGGGATCACACTATCTCCTGTTTAAATTAAATGTGCTCTAATGTTTTAAATTTTTGTTATTCTGCATCAGGCAATTAAGAATCATTGGCCATCACAATGTCGTCTCCACATTCACGTCATGTCGTAGAGTTTTCCTGGAAAAAGCTTTACATGACACAATGTGCAAGACAAGCAGTGCTGTCATCTCTAAGAATAGCATTAATCTTTGCACTGCTGTTTACTGATATGTAAGAATTTTTTTTTTAAATTGCAAATTATTGCATTCATATAATTTATTTGTGTCTTTGGTTGTCCCTACTAATATTAATATTCTATAGTCTAAATACTGTAACTGGTGGCTAGCTAGAAGATGTTAGGGTGGCATTAAAATTTTTCTAAGTTTTAAAGAGACCAACACACATCACCTGAAGAGTACTATTAAGGTTATAAAAAGTTTCCAAAGTTGCAAACATTTATTTTAATCACTGCCTAAATGGACACTCATAAGCCTTAAAGCTGAGAGACAAACCAAAAGAACAAAAAGAAATACATTAAAATAATTATGAAAAGAGTAAGTCATATCATATCAAGCTTTTAAAGCCACACATAAGTTTAAAAAAAATTATAGGCAGCATCGCCGTGTTTTTGTCTGGGCTCCAAAAACATCACATAAAAAAATCAAGATAACAGTCAGTCATTAGGGGTAAACAATAAAGTAACACATGGTAGTCCTACAATTTATTAACTATATTAAAATCCTATTAAAAATACAAAATATTTTTTAATTATCTACGTTTATATCTAACTCATTGGGATTTTCTTATATCTGAAAGCGGATTAGCCAATGAATCGATTATAGGCATAAAATGCAGATTAATTTACAAAATGTCAGATTATACATTGATCACTACAACCCATGATTTAACTTGTTGCTTAACTACATTTATTAGCTATTATTTGGAGAAGTTTTTATTATCTAAACAAAAAGAAAATGTGTGTGTATATATATATATATATATATATATATATATATATATATAAATAAACACACACATAAGTGTTCCAATTTTAATGTTTGACAGTACCGGGTAGTGGACAAGTCTTTCTTTTAATTTTTTTTATATAAAAAAAAAGAAAATGTGTGTGTATATATATATATATATATATATATATATATATATATATATATATATAAATAAACACACACATAAGTGTTCCAATTTTAATGTTTGACAGTACCGGGTAGTGGACAAGTCTTTCTTTTAGATAATCTTGTATGCCACACTAAACAATAATTGGTGGTCTAAACAAGAGCACTAATTTCATTAAGGGAAAAAAATGATTAAGACACATACACAAGGACAAGGCTTTATTTTTTTGACCTGTACCTTTGCTTGAAGGGTTTTGGACCACTATCAAAATTGTCATGTAGCAGATAAACAATATTAATTAATATTTCATTATTTTAACTTTGATTTTAGGTCCTATTCTGTGTTCTCTGGGTTTTTCTCTGTTCTGCATCCCGTTTTATGGTTTATGGGTGAGTAATAGTTACCACAAAACAATGTGGCCATAAATCATCGCAATGTTTCTAAACACTCAGTGTCAGAAATTAGTATTAAAATTCATAGATAATTACAAATATTATTTTGATGTAATTTTTTAAAAAGAAATTTGTACCTTCATTTAAAAAGCTATTTACATACAATTGAAGTGTAAAAATATTTAAATTTCTAATTCACTTATTTTATTTCAATTCTTTTCAGAATTCTCTATAGCTATTCTTCTGATTTTTCAAATAATTAGCAATGGACTTTTTCTTCTCCGTTATTTCTGGGACTATCTTTTTGGATCAGTTGTTGATGTCACAGAGAAGCAAATGCATCTTTTGGCCATTCCATTTAATGGTACTAAAAGATATGCTTTGTAAATTATCCCAACCTTACAAACAGTCTTGCCAATATAGAAAAATAAAACAAATTAAAAAAAATCCCCAACCTTGATTTATGGCCAAACAAAATTTTAATATGGACACATTGTTGAAAATATGAAATTTGAACTTATTTATAGTTTTTGTTGTGACATTTTAATCATTGTTTAATTATCCTGCCTGTAATCAAAATCCTGTAATTGTTAACCCTTTTTTCTGTATAATAGGGTAATTTGTCTAGGTCCATATCAAATTTTCTCTGACTTGAAAAGCTAATTTTCTTACACTTAAACAAATCATATGAGATTAATATTTTACAATTTTTTCCATACATTTATGGAAGCTTAGAAACCCTGCTTACTTAGTGTTCTGTGTTTTACTTGTATTTAATAGGTAAAGCTATTGTAGTAAAAATATGTTATTCTTGTTTTCATACTGCAATATTATTATTTAATTCAAATAATTTATTTTAAAATTGAATTAATTTAAATCATAATACTTGATGCACGCAATAATCAGTTATCTTTAAATGTTTATTCTATTAAATGACTTAAAAAGGTACCAATATTACCCAGTAATTTCATTTCAGATAGAAACTTTCGCACTCCTCCAAGATCTCAAGAGAATAACACTTCCTCAGCATCTCCTCTTAGTTTCAATGAATCGCCCAGCTACAACGTTGGTGACATATCCCCTCACAGAGTTGCAGCCAGCTTTACTTCATCATCACCCAGCAGATACCATTATCCCTTGCAGCACTCAACATCAGTTGTATTGCCATACAACTCTATCTTGAGCTCATCATCTCTTAACAACAGTTATAATCTCAGCTTTAATTCTTCATTTGACAGGGTAAGCTATTTTTTAAGGCTTTTTTATATTATTGCAATACATTATATTTTCTATTTTTATTTATAAAGCATTACTGAAATCATTTCTATTTCTAAATTTTCATTTTCAGTAAAGTTTGCACTGTAAATAACCAATTAAAGAAAATATTTAATTATCGATTTTACAATCTCCTAATAAAATATTTAAAAGTTTTTGCGATTGTAAGAAAATATTAATATCAAGGGCAGAATCCCATGCACTTAATATAATGCCAACTGATACGGTTCATGCCAATAATTTTGATATTTTTTTTTATCAGAGTCTTAACCTATCAAGCATTTCAAATAATTCTGGTAATTACGAGAATGACCAGAGTAGTACTAGGTCAAGAAGATCTGCCTCTGTCCCAATTAGTACAAGATGTAAGCTTTTCCTTGCGACTTAATTATTTTAATGTGGATGTTGTATCAAAATTGAAGAATGAAAAAAATCTATCAAAGCATGATGATTGCTATTAAACAGAGAGGACTGCATATGAATAATTATGGTGCATTTCCTTTCCCTTACTTCTTATGACCTTTAATATTTGCCATATTTTTTTATTTTGTGGAACCACCTAATGTTAAGGTTTCTATGCAGTAAACTATTCATAGAGGTGTAAGGTCTTATCCAATCTTTAGCCAATATCCTTGCTAACCTTACCTACCCAGTTCTCACTGTTTTATAGCAATCTTTTATTTCCCTCTTATCTAATTTAATTTACTTATTTATTTCTAATATTTTACGTTTCCTGTTGATCTCATAGGCAAGTTCTTTGAATTCATTGGTCACTTCCATAATTGCATATGTCTACAATTTCCTTTAGACTACATATCTATACCACGAACTAAATCTGTTTGTCTCTGTCTTTAAATATCTTTGTTGTTGAAGGCTTTTTGTCCAAAACATTCACCTCTCTGTTATTGTCCTTCTTCAGGTTTTTCATCTACCCTTTGTATATTTCTGTATAAACTGTAGCTCAATATCATTGTTTGTGATATATAATTATTTATTTTCATTAAAAAAATATCCTGTTCATCAGTGCTTCTCTTACATTTACAATATGTAATTTTTTTCTCAAGCTTCCAAATATAAACGGATCACTGACTTAGATACATTGCATCGCTACATCAACGAAGAGGAAGAAAAAGAACATAACAGATCTCAAGGTATATTAAATAATATGTATTTTCAATTCCTGTTAATCTATATATATAATTCGCCACCAAAGGTCAAACACCACCACTACGCTGGCTATATATAGATACTCCAGAGTGTAGTTAAATAATGAGTTAACTAGCGAGCAAAATATAATTTCCGATAACTACGCTACATGATATATATATATTTTTAATAACGCAATTGCGTTTGGTGCGTAATATTTTCTTTTCGGAAATGAAATCGTCTCAATTTAAGTATTGTGTAAAAAATGTTCGGTTTAAAAGTGGTTGGGACATGAGAATATTAATATAGTTAATGAGCAATTCTGCTACCTCGTGGGTCGACTAGTATTTCAATATTTGTTTAATTAATGATAACTAAGCTTATCAACCATGAAATGAAAACTGTTTTTGAGTCTCTGAGCTTTATTATTTAAACCAGTGGGATCTTTTGAATTAGATGGCATAAGTGCAAATAATGGTAGAACTGTTTTGCTTGGTATATATTTAAATGTAAAATTACTTTCCCTTGGCTAAGTTTCCCCAGAAAATGTAAGTTCCGTAAATACATCTTTCTGGAATTATGGATCAAACCCACTGGATTTCACTCACATCCTTCGACGTTTTGCTTACCAGCTGTCTCCAAGATCCCCGGCTGCACCAACACTCAATAGTTCAATTGATCCAATGAACAATCAAGGAGTGGGCGAGGTAATTTGATGTTTGATTTTAAGTGTTATTAAAAAAAGTGTTATATTTGCTTTTTATGCGTTTCAAGATTTCACTCGTTGACCATAGGCAACTACTAACTCATTAGCACTAGCTTACTTAATCAGTGTTCCTGAGCAACGGAAAGTTACATATTTTTTAAATTGAACTATAAGTTTAATTATTTTTTAAAGTTCCTAAATATTTAAGTTAAAACTTGGTACATCCAGTATGGATAATGTTTTCCAGAAATACTATTTAAATGGCCTAGAAAAGAAGAGCAATGACCAAAAAAAAAATTTTTTTTGTTTACATCAAAGCAAGACATCACAAAGCTTAGAAAAACAATACTAGCACTAATATAGATTGAAAACAAGACTAGATAAAAAATTCAGGTTTTCCTTATTGAAATCGCACCAGTCTTGGAGATGTGTGATATCATTGCTATTGTAAAATACCATTATGGTGAGGAGTGAGCCAGGAAGGACACATCTGGCGGAATCCTGTAATGTTGCATGTCCCAACCAGTGGCAATTAGTTAAATAAAAATTTATATCATTATGAATTGTATTTATTTAAGGTATGGAAAAAGTATGGTGTTACAGAAGATGATCTTTACATCTGGATAGAAAAGCTTAGAAAGGTAATTTAAAAAAATGCTTAGTTGTGGCTAAACTGTTAATTTATTTTCTTTTGTAAGATATTTTAATCAGTGAAAAAATGTAATTGCTATGTTCTCCGTTAAGTGAAAATATCCTTGGACTACAAATACTACACATTGTAATATTTCATTTTGTCTTTGACCTTAATGATGGATTATGCTTTTAAACTCTTATTAAAAGTATGGATAGGATATTATGAGTTAATTGATGTGGTATGCCCCCCAATCGGGAGAAGGTTTTTAAACAAAATCTGAAAAGTATAGCATTGGAAAGAAACATTGCTGTTTTCCTATCAAACATTTCTATTGTTTTTTCAGTGGCTAAGTTTCACAATAGTGTCACGCCTGAATGCTGAGATTGAAGATGTTAATACAGCTCTCCAGAAAATAGGATGTGAAGACACACAGATTGGAGGTATCTGATCACTGGTATTTTATCACTGGGTATATTATGAATTTAAAAATAAGTAAATTAAAAAAGTTATAACCAATAACAAACATTTTCAATAACTTGAAATTTCTGGTGATTGATAGATATGACTCAGTGTTGTTTTGTTAAAATAGTATTAGACTGCAATATAAAATTGTGTATTTTCTATCACAATTATTTGCAGTCTTCATGTGTTGCATTTTTTAAAATTCAATTTAAATTTTAAGCTATATGTTTAAAAAAAAATCTAAATTAAATTTAAACTTAGTAGAGCAATAAGAACAAAAATATTACTTTGTACTATCTATTAACCATGCTTCTGACATGGAATAATATAATATGATGCAGAAATTTAAATTAAAATGGGTGTAGTAGTATCATTAGTCTAGTGAGACAACTACTTTGGAAAGGAGGTAAACATTGGATAAAAAACTTCAACCACCAGAATTGGAAAACACCCAAATTTGTGTGGGATTTAAAAGTGGCTGTATTTGTAGAAATCGATGTGGCCTTGCAAGTTAAGTTACCACTGCCAGAACGAATTGACTGGGTTAAAAAGAAAGTTACTTGTTCAAATAATTTTAGTACCACATACCTAGGAAGTGCATGATTATTATTATATTTTGTTTTAGCCTTACTTGTTAAATAAAATAATTTTAAGTCTGCTGTCCTTTCAGATGTTGGAGTTACCACACTAAAGCAACTGGCCCTTACAAAAGGAAACTACATCCCAACATTGAATTCTGTTGTTCCTTACCTTGAATTATCAGCCAATCAAGATTATTTAAGAAGCAGAATCAGAGGTAAAGTTCTGTAAAACATGTCCTCATCATTAAAACTATATGACAACACTGGAAAAAAAAATCAGTTTATAAGAAAATTATCTATCTAAAAGAATGTTGCCTCTGATATTAAAATACATATTTGTTATTGCTAAAAATTATATAAATATTCTTTTTCATAGATCTCAGCACTGGGAGCATGAGTGCCTACACATGGAACAAAGGGGGTAACTATGGCAAACAGTGGAGCGAACATTTGCCTACTGATGCAGCTGTGAGTTGTTTTTAAACTGGATTAATGCAGCAATTTATTGCTTTTTAAAAGTTTATGTTCCTATTAACTGTTTATCAAGAGTAGATATATATTTAAAGTATAGCAATCAATACTGCTTTAGAAGTGATTAATTTATAGGTTTAAAATGTTCATCATCTTCTTTTTCAAACCGTCAGAAAATATTTTGTAATATATTCTTAAACAACTTACACTATGTTGTTTTTTTTTTTTTATTAGCTGGTGATGCATTTGTATTGCTGCTACCTGGATTCTCGTTTACCAGTTCAACCCAGATATCCAGATGGCAAGTCTTTTACATCTCAACACTTTGTCAAGACACCAGACAAACCAGGTTAAATGAATAATGATTCAGATTTTTTATTAGAAATACTTTTCATTGGTGGTGGCTTAAAGCACGTTTCTTAGATTGAATTATAATAATATAGAATCCAATAGTATTGAATGACAAAGAGGTCATTTGAATTTTTCTGTTTGAGAAAACATATAACAGTAAATATTTTAAAGAACCTGAGTATTTTAAAAGAAGTTGTGAAAAAAAATAGTAAAAGTAAAATATTATAATTGTAAAAATTTCATTTGAAATGTCTTAACAATATTTGGACATCATTTATTTTATTCTGCTATAGTTTATTTAAATGAAGAATTATGTACCATGAAAGTAATTGTTGGTCATCATATAGTGTTGAAGACAAAATTGTGTTTGTTCTGATTTGGTTTTACTTTTGAGGGTTGAAAAGCACATGTGAATGAATTTCTTTAATTCCAGTTTTTGTAAGGTCTTACTTGGATTAATCAAAATATTTTGGATTGCTATCTTCTTCTAGTAAGTATTTTTCAGAACTGTCAGGATCCCTAGATGATTGATTTCGTTCATCAAATTCTTTTACATGTTCATACATCCTGATCACACTCAATTGAACACAATTCCATTTTCCATTAGCAATGTACACTTTATTTCAGAAGCAAATATATCAATGAAACAAACACGCATAATGCAGCTTGCGATAAATAGAAAAATATAGTACAGCCTTCATCCACGACATTTTCACATCAACTGCCAAACAAATAGCATGCACACAATAGTCAGACTATAGAAACGACGCCACGGCTACAATAAAATTATGTCACAAAAGCGTTCGTTAACAAAATGAAGCCACAAGACACACCACGTACGATAAAAGACAATATTCAGTGCTCAACAATTTTTAGTGAAAATCCATATTGACAGGGACGCAATAAACTTATGGGCATGAAAAATTATTTTCAAATAACTCTACCTTGCCTCAAATAATATTTTCTTACAGGTTTAGATCATAAAGATAACCTTCAGATCTACCAGAGCTGTGTGAATCCTCCTCACTTCCAAGTAGTCATTGGCTCTCAAATCTACAATTTATCTAAGGTATTAATTGAATTGAAGAAGAAAAAAAATGTTACGTTACTGACTTCAATATTCCTTATGTTCAGATGTATTATTTTGCTTAAGAAAATATTTTGTAGGATTTTATACTGTTATATATAACCAAATTAATTTGTACTGTTATTATTTAAGAATTCAGAATTACTTAAAAATAGAAAGACCTCTGGTATTAAAGAAATGAATGAAAAATGCATCTTTAATATATCTCTGAACATTGAGAAAGGAGGAAGTAAAGGAATATTTATATAGTGAAGGTGGTCAGAGTGATAACTTATGAATGCAACAGAGAAAAATCTTAAACTCTTGATTCTAGTCATTTACTTATTTTAAATGTCTGTTGTCTCCCTTATTATTTCAGATGTTCTCCCCACTCAATACTAATTATATTATTTAAATTATCCATGCACTCCTCTTTCAGATAAAAAAAAAAAGAGGCACGAATAAATTTGTATTTGTGCCATAATTTCATCAATTTCAGGTCAAGTCACCTGAAATACATTATGTGCTATATTATTTTGTGTTTGTATTTATCATAAATAATAATTGGCCGTTGTTTTTTACAGGGAAGAAATAACATGTTCCAGGCCATACTGCTTTTTATGTACCATATTAAAGTGAAAGAAGGTGGCATGTTAGGGTAAGCTGTCTTTTAGTAATATCTGCAGTTACTTTTCTTAAAAGTTTTGACTTCAAAATGCATGAATAAACAAACGATAATCAAATTAACTGACAATTATTCTGGAAGTAATCATTTCCCTTTTTTAAAATTTGTTTTGAAGAGGAAAGTTAAAAATATTAGGATTTGTTATAATTTTCATTGATTATTTACTAACATGAAACAGACTGGTATATGTATTTATTTTATTAAATAATTTGTACATCCTATTTCAGACGAGTCAACTTGGGAATGTCAGGCCTTAACATGCTTTGGATTTTTGACTGAGCTGAAGAAAACTGACATTAATGATAGATCATTTCAGAAAATGATGGGAAAATATGTGTTCATGTGAATATATGTCAGAGTACGAAAGAAAGATACATAAGAACATTAAATAATTTTCATATTTGGGACAATGTAATGTTAGAAGTGGTGTGGCCTATGGCAAGATAATCCATTATGAAATAAAGGAATGTCCATTTTAATTCCCAATTTTATTCTTGGAAGCTATAAACTGACAAGAGTTTTATAATTGAAACAACAGTTATGATATAAACTGAATATGAATTCAATGCTCTAAACTACATCATTTTGTGTCAATGAATCAACTTATTGGTTTATTCCAACTTGGCCACTTACATTGCTAAATATTTCAGTGTGAATGATTAGTCTTTAAGCTACTAATGTTGTACAGCACACTATTATTTTTAATGTTAATCCATTAGAGCCTAATCAGCTTGTGTAAATAGATTATTATGCAGTCACTAATGGATACTTACGTTTTTAATATGTTAAAGTGAAACTGAAAATAAAATATGCATCTTGAAGTGGTGATTTTTTTTACTTGTGTTAATGTTTTTTAAATACCCTAAGCTCTCTTTGTTGTGTGTGTGTGCTTGATGAAAAAAAAAGAATTACAAGATTAGTTATTTCCAGGTTTCACTGTGCCAAAAAACACTATCAAGTTCACCCCGGGCGGCACAATGTCTCACTACAACGCTGGTTATGCAACAGTACTAATGTCAGTTGGTCAATTTCAGATTTATCTGGCATCCAATCAACATTTTTAGAGAAAATTACTGGCTTCATTCAATATTTTTACAATAACTTTCAGAGCCCTAGTTCTTTCCAGTTAAGATATTTAATGTTATAGTATAGCGCGACAAATTCCATCATTTGGATTTAATCTAAGCCTGTGTATCTTAAAGATGAAAAAGTTCCATGCTGTGGTTTTAAAATAATTGCCATTTTGTTTGTGTTAAACCTGGATATATTCACACTTTAATGAATGCAGAAAGGTAATTATTATACTTTTAATTTTGTTTCATTTTAATTAAACATGTAGGCCTTTACTGATATTAGTGATCCTTATTTGTGACAAACACATTTTTTGAACAGCTTTTAAAAAAAAAAAGTACTTGTTAATGAAGTATTTTAAAGAAATAAATTAAAATAAATAGTGTGAATTAAAATTTATAAAACATTACTTTTTAGAAACAACTTACAATAACGCTGTTGTATAAACACAACCAGGTAAAGGGAACCTAAATTTCCACTGGCATCTCTTCTGTTTTTCTCTCAACTTAGTCTAAGTTGAAATTGATACAAAACTTAATTCAGGTATATACCAAAATGCAGGGGTGCATTTTATATCTATCAACAATTTTCTGGGATAGCCCAACTAACGTTTCATTTGGGAGCCTTTGTTTCCCTTGATTTCTGCTCCCCTCCCTGATCAAAGTGACAGAACTGACACCTATTTATCTACAAAAAAGCACTAGATGATAGTAATTATTTGGTATATATTATATCTCTCTATATAGACAAAGATTGGCTGTATAGAATATAATAGATTCCAGGGGCGAAACTTAGCGGAGGCAGGAAGGATACCCTCGGCACCACAAATAGGATGAATTTATGTATGGCAGGAACTGAAAGATGGCCTGCCCAAGACACACACTTTTCCCGAACACCTGAAAACCCCCGTTACCCTCCCACCCCTGAAATTGTCTGAAAGAAACAGTTATAATAACGCATGGGCCAACCTTGGCCCCAAGTAGGAACAAATATCACACTAAATATGTGTAATGCTTAAGCTTCAATTATTTTGTAATAATTAAAATTAAACTAAATATAATTATTTTGTTACAATTAAATATATTTTTAATATTTGTTATTAAATAAGCATTTATAATTTTTTGTTATACTAAGTAGGTGCGTTTCATATTTATAAAATGGAAGTTCTCGTATCTACGCCACTACAGATTTAAACGTACAAGGTGCATGGAATTTAGAATAATTTTAGTACCGGTTAGTTAATTAAATATCGGCATCGCATGATTATGAAAACTGCGGCTGCTAGGTTGGAAGAATTGTACACAGAGTTACAATTTTTTAAACTGAAATAAATTGTTTTATGCCAAGAGAATGGTTGCAGAAAAGGAAAAGTGGAGAAAAGTGTTTAATTTAAGGGCTGGGACTGGGAGGAGGGTAGTAAAATATAACAGGACTGATTAAAATATTTCACCGCCGGAAGTCGCACATGCTGAATGAGCCCTTGCTCTTGATTTCATAAAATATGTTTACTAAAAATAGTATACCATGCACAAGCAGTGGTCTATAAAGATAATTAACTGATTAAATTGAGGTTTAAAAGCAGGAAATTCATATTCGCTTCCAAGTTTAAAAAAAAAATGTCCTTCTTCATTAAGTCACGTAAAAGGAAATTCGTTGCAAAGGTGTGTTTCTTTTTAAAAAAAAATTTTTTTTTGACTAGAATTTCAGTCAGTAATTTTTTAAAAAAATGTAATTTAGTCTAAGTCTAAGTCTAGTTTTATTTAGTGTAATAAAAAAATAAATGAATAATAGTCTGAGTCTGGAAAGTTGGACCTGACAGTCAGACTCTGAACAATTATCAATGTCAATGTGTGTATGAAACTTGCCCGTTCTTCACTGAGAATTATTATAATTAGTCTTAATTACGTTAGTCTACTAAACTAAGTCTAAAGGGATCGGGGTATGCATAGCCGCTATTCTCCCCCAAGCCCAAGGTAACAATGAAGTTCTTGAAAATATCATCTCCACGAAAACGATTGTGAAACATGAACTCCTGCAACTAAGATGTTAAAGAGTGCAGCTGGTGTCAACTGTCTTTTCATAGTCTGTTTACTTTTAGTGGGTAATAAATTAAATACTTCTAACTTTCTTTCTAACAGTATCTGAGTGCATTCCACCCAGAATTTTTTGTCCATGTCCAGCCCATAGTCACAATAATAGCTAAGAAGGATGACCATCGAGAAATTAAACCTATTGCTAGTAATCAGTGTTCCATTTTTAAGAGGTAGATTGCTACCATTGTGATTGTCACAATTATTGATGGACATTAGTTGTTTATTTCTAAACTTACTTTCAGGATCAGAAGGGCAAATCTAAAAAGGAGATCCTTAAAGCCAAGAGTGCCCTCACTGAAGAAGTGGAAAGTGAATCAGATGCAGATAGGTAATAATTCAAACATTAGTTTAGTCATTAAATATTTGAGCTGTATCTAATTTTAACTGAAATACATTTAATTATAAGTTTGTTCACAACATATGTAGAACATATGTAGATCAAGATCTGCTTATTCGTTAGGCCTAAGCCTAAGCGTATAATGAGTAGATTTACTCTAGTCTTGGAATTACATTTTATTTCAGCAGTAATGAAGTAACTGAAGCCAGAGACAAAGTGTACAGTTCTGAAGAAGAGGAGGAGACTGCTCAGCAAAAGAGACTTCGGTTAGCCAAGCAATACCTCTCTAAGCTAGAAGAAGAAGGTTAGTGTATTACTGAAGAAATCACGATTTATTTTTTTCCAAAATTACAACAAACAAATATCTCATCACAATCTGTTAAGACAAGATTTTGTATTTAAAATTTCTAAGCTGTAATGATTTACTGTAGGAATAAGTTTTACTGTAAACAAAGTCCATCTTTAATAGTTGCATATATGAAATATTAATAGATCAATCAGTAATTTAAATTAAAAAAAGAGTGTTTACTTTTAATCACTGCTAGTATTTATTACTTGTTTTCTTATTGCAGAGGCTGAGAAAAAAGCAGATGAAGAAACTTTGAAGGATGCTGTTGCAAGCAGACTTCAGCATGATATAGTAATTAGTTCTTTTACATCACATCTTTGTTACTATAATTTTAATTCAAAATTTTTTTTACATTCTGGATTTATTCCAACAATTATAATTCAACTGGTAAGATTACATTAAGTAATCCCCTCTGTAAAATGATTTATGTCATCTGACATTGGCGGTTGGGCTTTTTATTGAGGATTGACAACTTCTCCAAACAATATCTGCATAGTTTTCTGAGTATTTCCACCCTGATATTTAATGTGACTAATATGATTAATATATTGCTATAATTGGATACATTTTATTTTGAGGCATTTTCTAATGCTATTATTTGCAATGCCAAATAGATTTTCTTATTTCCATGTAAAACAAACTAATTTCATTGCCAACAAGTATTTAAATATTTAAAAGAAAAAATATTGAAACAGGAAAGTTATGTGAATTAGCTTTTTAATAGTTCTAGAAATTTGATATCACCGTAATTTAAATAAAAGTAGTTTACATGTTATTGATTATTCTAAAGCTTATTTTGCGTTAAAAAATGTAAATGGATATTTTGAAATATTTTTTGTTTACTTTGCAGTCAGAACAAGCTGGAAAACTAACAAAGCAGGTTGCTGATGCGGTATGAAACTCTTTGTTTGCCTTCTTTATGTATTGTAAAGCGTGAATGAAATGACATAAATGATTGTGAAATAACACCTATGCCATGCATTTATTCTCATGCATATAGATGTAGATAGCTATAAACTTATAAATAGAGATGCAGATAGCTATAAACTTATAAATATAGTATGCATGTGTTCTATAATCTGTATTTATTTCAGTGTTTTTGTGCTAATCCAGAGGATTTGCGTGTGTTTAGAGGGCATGGACTTCCAGTTACAGCCATTGTGATTTCACCAGATGACAAATTTGTTTTTACATCTAGCAAAGATTGTAATATATGTAAATGTAAGCAATTAGTTACAAATAAATAAGTTTATTCGGGATAAATAAATAAATTAAAATGTTTAAAATATAAAATAGACACCTTAAAAAAAAGTATATCAATTAGTTCTTGACTTAATAATTTTACTTTAAATTATCAGGGAATTTGGAGACTGGTTTAAAAGAAAAAACAATAAAAGGTGGCAGGAAAGGAACTGAAGACGTGCACATTGGCCACACAGACCACATACTGTGTTTAGCTATATCATCAGATGGCAAATTTTTGGTTAGTGATGAAATCATTTTAATAATTGATGTAATATACTTTTGTATTTTTAAAGTATTGAAGTTGATTTAAAGCTTAAGCTGAAGTATGAGTGTAAAAAAATGATAAATAAAGGAATACAGAAAAAACAAAATTTGCATATCGGAGGAGCAAGTTTACAATTTAATCCCTATGTGAAGATTACATAAGCCATATATTTATTGAAAGTTACCAAAAAAGGTATATGATTTTGTTAAGAAAACTTAGTTTAACATTTTAGAAAAGACAAATAAATACCTTTGATAATGACTTTTTATTCAATTTGTTTTTTTTTGATAAAGCGTAACCAGGAAATAAATGTCATTTAATGATTTTGATTAAATTTTGACAGTATTGCATTTATATAATAAGTATGCCCAATTAATTTTTTTTTCATAGGCTGCTGGTGATATGAACAACATGATTAAATTGTGGAACCCTCAAGATTGTAGTTTCATCCATAAGTTCAGAGGCCATAGGGGCCCCGTCACTGTAAGCTAGTAGATTCTGATTATCTATTTGTTAACAAAAAAAAGTTATACAATTGACAATTCTTATTTCATATTACTGCTATTTTCCAGTCTTCTTTTAGAACTAGTTTCATTTCAAAGTTTCTCAGATGCCAGGTTGCAAAATAAATTATTGAAAGCTGAGTGTTTTTTTTTCAAAGCCTAAAATAACAGTTACTAGCATGAATCAGGACTAGGGAGGTGAATGTTTCAGTATCATTGTTGGCAGCTAATAATTAGCCCAATCATTGACACATTAGTGTCTATCAAATGACAAGAAAGGAAAATGGCAATATCTTATCACTCTGTTGAACAACACCTGCCCCGTTGAAAGGTGTTTATGTATGGATATTCAGATCTATTTTATGTTACCTTTTGGCAAGAAATTTAAGTAGTTCATGAAAGAAATGTTTAAAAAGTAATGGGACCACTGAAAAAAAATGTCTGTTAAATGCTGCTTCAATTAATGTTTTCCTTTCAATATTTTATCATATAGTAATTTTATAATTTTAACAGGGTGTATCATTTAGGAAAGGCACACATACATTATACAGCTGCTCTGCTGACAAAGTGGTTAAGGTGTGGAGTGTTGATGACTTGGCATACGTAGAAACATTGTATGTAGACATAACTAAAATATATAACTATATGTTAAATGTTAATATATGTAAAAAAAAATTAAAACCCTAAATCTTAATTGAGTATCTCACTATTATTTATATTTTTAATTGTACCTTATTTGTTATTAATAAGAAGGATCTTATTGCTCTCCAGAGTAAATTTCTTTTAACCAATTTATAAAATGATATTGAAGTGGTCTATTTAATTTTGTTATGGATGATTCATTTTAAGGCAAGTAAAATACAACTGGGCAGGACACAGTTGTAATGAAACATTCATTTTATTTAATTCTCAACTACATTTAACCTTTGATTTATGTTTATTTCAGATTTGGTCACAATACTCCTATAACTGGAATAGACAGCTTAATGCGTGATAGAGCTATCACGTCAGGAGGCAGGGATAAAAGTGTACACATTTGGAAGATTACAGAGGACTCACAGTTGCTTTTTCATGGGAATGAGTAAGGAAAATTAGAAATAGTTGTTTTTGAATATTTTTTAAACAAAATCACCTAGATTTAAAAAAAAAAATATATTAATAGCAGCAGTAATGTAAATCTAATAGGAGATCTGTTGAAATGTCAGAAGAAGAATTGGGCAATGGTGTTAATTGTTTTGATAACTGGCATTAGTGAATTTAAGTTTTTATTCTTGAAAGTCCAACCAGTTTATGAATATTGAAACTCTTCATATCTTTATAGTCTTTCAATACGAGTAAGTAAACAAGAGATATTCTTATAATGGGAAGAGAAGAATACCGTACAGCAAATTTTTATTACTACTTTGTGTTCATGAAATAATCAATAACTAATGTCTCATCTATTTTCTCAATAGTGGGTCCATAGAGTGTGTCGCTCTTATCAATGAAAGTAACTTTTTCACTGGTGCAGATGACAAGTTAGTTTTATATTCTTATTATCTTAAACAGTGAAATATTGCAATTGTTAAAACCTGTGAAATCGGGTTAGTGAAATTAAACAATTCTGCTGAAGCAGCATCAAAGAATACAAGAGCAGCATGACAATTAATTCTCATCTTGTCAAACCCTCTCCTCCACGTGGAGGTAGCAGACTGAAAGATAATCATCAAAACTGCCAAATAAAAAAAAAATCACCTTGTGTCATGTTACGTGTAAGCTAGGGATGCATTTCCTTTTACTGACACTGTCAATTTAAAAAAAGTCATTTTGTTTTATTACCATTTTTAAAAGTCTTTGAAATTATTGCATTTCTTCATGCTTAACTAAACAACTTAAAATGACTTTTTTTAAACAAAGAATTTTTTTAATCTTCAGACTATTATTGTGATTTACAATATCCAGGTGTGCAGTAACACAAATTCAGCTATAATCTTTTCGAGAATTCCTTTTTATTTTGTTTAGAATTAGAAACAAATTTGATTTTTAAAAAAACTATATTTTGTAGGAAGCACTAATGTATTTTATTTTCCCATATGATGCCAGCTCCTTAAGCCTCTGGAGTGTTCTCAAGAAAAAACCTTTAACAACTGTGAAAAAAGCCCACGGGCTTAATTTGGGGATTCTAGAGGAAAACTGGATATCCTCCGTTGCAGCCTTGCAGTACACAGATCTGGTTGCTTCTGGCTCCAAAGATGGATTTGTTCGACTGTGGAAATGCAGTACCGATTACAAATCACTTACACCTTTATTTCAAATTCCCGTAGTAAGTTTCCATTTATTTTGATTTTGTTTCGAATTGATGAATTTAATTAATTGGCCTATTTACTTTTTTGGTTCATTTTAAGGTTCAAACAAAGCTGAGAGTAAGTTTTTATTATGCATAACAGCTAGAGGAAAAATACAAATGTATTAATTGAAGATAAAAATTCATAATAAGAATTTAATTGAAAGCTTTTTATAAAGCCTCAGAGGTATTTACATTTTTAACATCAAATTTGTGCATTTCATTTAGACATCAAATTACATTTAACTATTGCAAATAAACCTCATTACTAGAGGCTACTACGAAATGTGCTGCTTTGCTCAAAAACTTCTCCTCTTGTTCTCCAGAAAGGATTTATCAACAGTTTAAAGTTTTCAAATAATGGGGAATTCTTAGTAGCAGCTGTTGGGCAAGAGCATAGACTTGGAAGATGGTGGCGTTTAAAGGATGCTAAAAATGGATGGATAGTCATACCACTCAAGGCAGGCCAGCAGGGAAGATGAGTCTGTGGCTAAAATGTTGATTGTAATAAGCAGTGATGTAACAAGGACAAGGTTGATAGTGATGAATGCAGCATTAATCTCAAGTGTTCTTTATGTCAGTGAGAATAAGTGGAGGCAGTGCAAGTCTAATGTAGAGTGCAATGTGGTAATTAAGTCAGTGATGTGCAGCTCTTTTTTAAAATTGTAAAAATTTATTATTTACCTTGTGAAAAGGTGGGGTCGTTCATAAACGTTGCACATTGGTCCATATGATTTAAATTAGTCTCTTTCAGAGCATTTAATCTTTTTTTTAGCACTTTTGTAGAAGGCATTTTTGGTAATTCTAAATTCATCAATGTAAATTTGTCCCACAATTGTGAATTCAAAAAATTATTTTGTATGATGTTGTCCTGCAGCTTGAATTAAAAAACAAATTTTTAACTGAAGGATGTATCGTTTTAGTTTTATTGACATAAAATTAAATATATATACATAAATATCCACAAAAAATGCATCTTCTAATGGCTGCTCCAGCACAAAATAATGGAATAAACATATTTTAATGTTTGGCCAGTCTTCATTTTGCATACAAGTTGATGTAAGGAGGTTTAGTTTGAAATTGTATGTTTTCTCCATTTTAAAGTTACAAAACCAGCCCAGGTAATTTGACTTTGTTGATTTCCAATCTGATTTCAAGTCCCTTTTAAAACATAAATTGGTCATGATATTTCCTCTGAAAACTATAGCAATGATCGTCTCGAGTCTTATAAAATATATCTGTATTTTGACTGGGTCTTTTATCATTTCCTGGCAGTCACCCATCCATGTGTAATGAATGTTTCCAAAAACCATTGACCATTTTGAAATCTGCTTTTGTTATGAACATGATGTTAGGTAAATCATGTTTTTCCTGTAAAAAGAAAATGGGGAAAAGAGTTATTTTATACATTAGTGGAGTTTGTGTCACCAGGATTAATGAAAGACAGAATGATCAATACATTGATCATGGACCCTTAATATATTGAAGTATGATAGTTAGTAGCTGTGCATAATATGAAGTCTTAAGAGTTTTAGGTTTATATACAAGAGGAACCTAAGAATACTGGCTAAGCAAAAAATTACCAGAAATCCTTCGGATTTTAAAATGAAGGCTCTTAGAATTCATGAGAGTATAAACTTGTTTGTCTGTTAGAAATGAAACAGGGATGCCTTCAATCTGAAGATCAAAGCAAATTATTAAATGATTAATAACTTTGTGGTACGTTAGAATGAGTAATGTGATAAATCTTTTTCAAAATCACCTTTTAATATGACTCAAATGAAGGTGCGCAAACTAGAGCATAAACAGCTTTGGGTAACGTCAATAGAGTTAATTTTAATACTAAAATAGGATTATGTTTTAAATATAGTCATACATTCCCTTACTACTGGAAATTCCTTTTTTTGTGGTGTTTTGTTGATTGAATATAGCAAATATTTAGTGGCACTGGTGTCAGTGAGGCAAGTACTAAGAGAAACAATTGTGCTTCAAAAAAAAAAACACCTCCATTTCAAATAGTACGTGCCAGTCAATCATTCACTTGTATTTTGTAAAAAAAAAATAATTTTAAAATAGAGTAATAATTAAATTAAGCAATCCCTAAAAAGAAAGTTTTTCATATAAATCCTTTATAAGATGTAATATCGAGCAGTATGAGGAGGAGGGCTGAAAACATTTGTAAGAATAACCAATTAGTGCCCCCCCTCCCCCCAATGTAAAAGGCTGAAAACATTTGTAAAAATAACCCATTTGTGCCCCCCCCCCCCAATGTAAATGTTCTAATGACCCACCCGCTTTTATACCACATTTTTATTTCACCCAATATTTCAGAAAAACAAAAAAAACTATTATTAAAAAATAATTTCATTTAGTGCAGTTATCTGGAAATTTATTTTGTGAAATCGGTGCCCGTATTTCCTCCTTCTTCCGCTTGATAAACATGAAAAAATTATTTATGGGGATGGGACTGAAAAATTGGTAGAAGGTGTTGTCATCGACAAATCCATGGTCCAAGTTTCAGCTCGATACATTGAAGGGGAGTGGCTTAACTAGCGGTCCTAAAGATTTTTCCAGCCAGCCATGAAAAAACGCAAAGTTAACTTAAAGTATGTGAAAATCTTCATCCTTCTCAACAGTGTTCCATTGATAGAAAAATGAAAAGGCATGGTAATGCATATTTCCCTTACTGGTTCTTTAGTATTTACAATTTGTGTTACCTTCAACTTTCAAGCAGGGCATTGGTTAAGCATATATGACATGACACCCTCCAGTGAAACATGGCAGGACTCTAAAATATTTCACTAAAATAGCAGAATACCATCAGTAGATAAAGTCTGCTGGCCTGGCGTCCACTCACCTCTAGGATGTGATCCCCCGGGCACAAGCCTGCTTTAAATGCTGAGGAGTTGTCGTCAACTGTGTCCACAATAAAGCAGCCGTTGGCATCTCTGCATTTAAGAACAATCCTGGAATTACTACCAAAGTTTACTAAAACCAAAGTGATCTAATTCTACAATTTCATTAATGCTTGATGTTTTAACACTTTTAGGTGAAGCCCCGTAACATTATGTACGGTACAAGCTTGTCAAGAGAAATACTTCAATGAATGCCTCCAATATTTTATAAGTTTTAATTTTGGATTAAGTTCAAAACTCTTGACTTCCTTTAATGTAAAAGTGCGAGGTTGAAAAAGATTATTGTTGATTTAGTAAACTGAACAGGAAGATTAAGATAAATACAAGTACAAGGATAATAGTGAATTAACAGAAGATGGCGAAAACTTACTGTACATGTTATTTTATTGATTTGATACAGCTAAAAAATGGAACACTCAAATAGTAAATACAAAAAATAATTTTATCATCAAGATTTATAAACACAAATTCTCATATTTGAAATGGAGAAGTACTTTTTTAGTTGGTAAAATCCTAACCTGTTTGAACAAATTTTATTTGTTTTCAAAGTCGACTTACCCCAATGCAAATTATAAGAAATATATAAAGCAAGATAAATACATTTTGTTACCAATTTTAAGAAGCCAATTATATTTTGTGTAGGCATCATTGCGCACATGAACACACATGCGGACACCCTGTTCCATCACCTGTTAACACACACAAATGCCCACACACATGCTGACACCCTGCTCCATCACCTGTAAACACACATGCTGAGACCCTGCTCCCCACACACATGCTGAGACCCTGCTCCCCACACACATGCTGAGACCCTGCTCCCCACACACATGCTGAGACCCTGCTCCCCACACACATGCTGAGACCCTGCTCCCCACACACATGCTGAGACCCTGATCCCTCACCTGTTAACAGCACAGCCAAGTTTCCCCCCCTTGGACGGACACAACAAAAGGTCAAGGTCTTCATAGGCTGGGCTGTTGTCAGAGATTTCTGTGAAAATACATAAGCTAGAAGCTAGAAACACAACACAATTTATTTGTCAGTGATGCCGGTCTACTTTGAGGGCAATGCTATGGAAATTGTTGCATGATCCAGCCCAGATGGTTTTTATGCCAACCTTTGGTTCTTAAATGGGGCCCTTTAATTGAAACTTAATGAACAAATTTTGGAACATTTTTACCTTTTGAGTTTAAGAGCCAGAGCCACCATTTGTATGATATGTGCTGATGAATTAGATTGGGATTTTAAAGAATGAAATTCTATTCTATATTTTATAGTCTTCTGTATATTTTTTTGACCCCTAAATGATACAGATTGCCTTCAACAATTTGTGACTACGAAGGGATACTGTTCTCAAAATCAAACACACAACTACAGTATATACTACATTACAGATCATGCCAGTGGATAAGCTGCAACCTTTGTTTAGGATTGTCAATTTTGATATTTGCAGTGAACGGTAGATAGGTCACATCCCTAGTTTGGGGTTGTAAGTGTAAATATATAAGACTTGCCCGCAGATAAGGCACAACAATAACATTAGTTTGGGCAGTTATAATTATATGGCCTTTACATAAACATAACTATTTGTTAAACAGACATCAGAGAGTTGTTTCCAAAGCAACTTGTCATTTTAAAAGCAACCATCATAAAACTGCATGATCTTTAATAAATCTAGAATTAATGATTGTCCCTTACAGCAAGGGAAAAAACAACAATTCTCTGTCACTTTCTACTTTTGATCCCTGTGATGTTGAGTGAACAGGTTGCAACCCTGATTTTTATCAAAAAGTTAATTTAAAAAAATAAAATAATAATATGGCAATCAATTGAGTTCAAACCCAGACACTATGAACTTGAATTATTTGTTTAACAAAACAGATTAAATAATGTGAGTTGTATGCACCTTGACTTTGTGAAGAATGATAGCCGTTCAGCCTGGGGTGCTCAAAGCCATTTAGCCTGGGGTGCTCAACGATCATGATTATATTCCAGGCAGCCTGCATGATGATGACAGCCTCAGCGTGGGAAATGCCTCTGAAGTCCATCCCATTGACATTAAGAATCCTGTCCCCAGTGCACAGACCCTATGACAACAATTTATAAATATTAAAATTAGCCTACTGTATAAATTAAGATGGAATTTTTTATATTTTAAAATCTGTACCAAATCAGAAAAACAAGAGAGTTAAAGGAGGAAATAAGAATTTAGAAACAACAACAAAAAACCTTAAATTTATAGCTATCAGTTTGACAACATATTAATTAATATTAAACTTCATTTTTCATTTTAATCTATCCAATTTTTGTTGTTACTTAACTGCTTGAAAATCAGAGATTGCTTTACGACATCACTTTTTGGTAATCTCATTTAATTGATCGTGGCCTGCTCACATCAATCAGCTATTTGGCTGACGTTTAAAATTATATATAGTTACCTGGGATTCGCCTTGCGTGCCTGGTTCTGTAACAATGACTGGTGTTTTGTACTCCTTCCCTCCCTTGATGCCCAAGCCCAGGGTTCCGTCCCTTTGTCTAATCAGGAAGACTCGTTTCATGCCACTCTGCAGCCTAGTCAACAAAACATATTGATAGCATAGGTGAACAAAATATATTGATAGCATAGGTGAACAAAACATATTGATATTTAAAGACATTTTTTATCATAAACTCCGCCGAAAGCCATTGCAGTTACATTTTCTATATTCTAGACCAGAATCTATAGTTTAAATTTGAATGAATGTTTGTCATGGTAATTAGAAATCGAGTTTATTTGCACTATTATATTAACGCAACACAATTTTTAAGAATCAGTGGCGCAGCTAGGGGGTGTGGATCGCACCGGGTGACACAATCTCAGGGGGGTGACACCAAATGGAAAAAAAATGCATATTTACAGAGCACAGACTGATCGGACTAACCCATTTCATAAAAGGATAAAATAAAATGTCCTCTTTTTCAGACCTTTTGAAAATGAAATGTCTTCTTCTTCTATATACTAAGGGCCCACGATCAATTTATTGATAATTCTGGCTCCTGTTTTACATCATAAGTTCCTCATTTTTCACGTAGTTTTTTTTCACAAAAACAACATTGTCCCTGTTCCGGATTCCATAACTGTTCAGTTTCTTGTTATCATCTGTGAGCTTCTCGCCATTGAAATTCAACCAATAGCGCTTCCAGATATAGTCCCAACTAATGTATGTACTTCTGCCCTGTACGCATCTGCCTCAAAGTAAAATGTCTTTTGATGGCATGCTTCAGATCAATGACTAGCTTTCTGTGTAACAACAATAGGGACAATTTTATTGTCTTGTCTTCTAACATTAACCACCATTGCCTGCCCTATATTCCAAGGCTATCACGGAATTAACTTCTTCAAGTGTGACATGATGATCAAGATCCCGCAGCAAGGGGTCGTTAACTATCAGTCCTACTACATCTCTTGTGCTGTGCTCATTGCCCCAGAGTGGGTGAATGTGGGAATATGCTCTTCTTGTTTTTGTTGGCTGCTTTTGGATTCCATTTTAACAACGTAAGAGAGGTCTGGCTCCATCTTCACAAGAGCTTAGATTGATTGAATGTCTTTAGTCTTTAGAAATTGATAATGTCCTTTTCCATCTGGCAAACTTAGGCAATATCCCATCTCCTTGTCCCAATTTAGAATATCAAGTCTAGACTAAAGTTGAGTCAACTTCTCAGAAAACTTCCAACATTTTTATCTCCATCGATATTGATAATCAATAATCAATACTCTGTTACGTTTACTCGATGTCAACCACTTGGTCTGGGCACACACAAATTCAAACTTTCAAAATGGAGTCCTGCTTTTTCAGTAAATGCTAAACATTGATTTTACTGCACTTCCCATCGATTTTAAGGAGGCCATGATGAATTCTCTTGTAAAGATAAAGACCTTTACGGTGCCAATGTTGAGTTTCACACCGTTCAAGATAGGAGCAATTTTAACAAATGGTATTACAAGATTAATTTTCTTTGCATATGTTTATGTCGGTGGCCGCTGGATGGGGGTGGGGGTGTAACGTTAATGGACTTCATCGTTCATTAAAGATCAGGGGTCAAAGATGGAGAGAAATATGTTGGTGCATTAAGTGTGGTAAAACTAGAGGGACATGGATCGTCTTGTGGGATGTCACCTTGGACCTTAGATGGCCATGCATTGTCATGTGGTATGACACCTTCATACTAAGAAGGCCATGCATTGTCATGTGGTATGAAACCTTCATACTAAGAAGCCCATGCATTGTCATGTGGTATGACACCTTCATGCAAAGAGGGCCATATGGGGTGACACCTTCATACTAAGAAGGCCATGCATTGTCATGTGGTATGACACCTCCATACAAAGAAGGCCATGCATTGTCATGGGGTATGAAACCTTCATACTAAGACGGCCATATGGGGTGACATCTTCGTACTAAGAAGGCCATGTATTGTCATGTGGTATGACACCTTCATACTAAGTTAAGGCCATGTATTGTCATGTGGTATGGTACCTTCATACTAAGTTAAGGCCATGTATTGTCATGTGGTATGACACCTTCATACTAAGTTAAGGCCATGTATTGTCATGTGGTATGGTACCTTCATACTAAGTTAAGGCCATATATTGTCATGTGGTATGGTACCTTCATACTAAGTTAAGGCCATGCATTCTCATGTGGTATGGTACCTTCATACTAAGTTAAGGCCATGTATTGTCATATGGGGTGACACCTTCGTACTAAGTTAAGGCCATGTATTGTCATATGGGGTGACACCTTCGTACTAAGTTAAGGCTATGTATTGTCATATGGGGTGACACCTTCGTACTAAGTTAAGGCCATGTATTGTCATATGGGGTGACACCTTCGTACTAAGTTAAGGCCATGTATTGTCATATGGGGTGACACCTTCGTACTAAGTTAAGGCCATGTATTGTCATATGGGGTGACACCTTCGTACTAACATATGATTACTACATGAACGTTTGTGTCAGAATGAGGGAAGTTATTTCTTACCTGTAATAGGAAACGGGAGAGAGGGAGGGAGAGAGAGAAAGAGAGAGAATATTTCCGGTAACCTTATGAGTATACTGGATATTAGGACTTATAAAACCCGTGCAATGGTTAGTGAGTCAATCTGTGATACCGGCAGTAAGGGACTAAAAGTTAAGCCAAAGTCACAGCACTAACCTGGGTGATGTCGCTGTGTCCGCATCAGGTGTGAGAAGAGAAGGCAATGACCGACTGAAGACGGGGACAGGTCGGGGGAACTGACCGGAGCCTTGACGTAACAACGTAGAGCTTTTGTCTGGAAACTGTTACAATAAAGAAATAAGTGTTGGGTTTTTTTTTGTAAATAAAGAGTAATAAATAGAGGCCAAATCATATTTTTATTTTTAAACTTTAAAAAAAGGGAGAAAACCGTATGCTTCAATCTGTCAGCCTTGGTCTTCCGATTTTTTGCCGGCTTTCGAATTACTCTAATTAGCAAAATGAATAGTTGAAAGGAAAAAAAAACAAATATTCGGATTATTTATTAATTAATTATTATTTTTTTGTTGGTGAGTGTGTGTGTGTGTGGGGTGGGGGGGGAGAGGGTAAGTTTTAGCAATGGGTTGAAAGTACAGAAGGAGAAAAAAAAAATTACCAAGTCAACACCAGGAGGTGTTTTTTTTTAAATTTTCGTAGTGCTTGGCATTAAAATCCATACTTCAAGGTCAGAAATGATACATAATGGACCGCACAACCGCACAACCGCACAACCACACAACCACACAACCGCACAACCACACAACCGCACAACCACACAACCGCACAACCACACAACCGCACAACGGAAGGTTGAATTTTAAGAATTAAGACGATTTTTTTTTTGTTTACTAATATGCGTGGTAAAATTCCCATTTGAAACAATCACTGAATTTGATATTATTTGATTTGCTAAAAAAAATGTGAAGTGTTGTTGAACTATTAGCGAAATTGAACTAGTTTGTTATCAATAGGCTGGCGTTATTGAAGAGTTAACAGTTTCAACAATTTTTGTTTAAAAAACCGTAAATGTTTGTATTACTTATGAATGGGATATTCATAATGAGCTCTCGAATTAAATAAAATACCATGATCCACAGAAATTTTTATCTTTTCTTAAAGCACACAATGAGATTCTAAACAACACAAGAGAGTACAATTGACGAATGTGACGTCATTTTATCTTATCTCCCCCCCCCCCTTAGTTGATTTGTGATAGATCAGTGCATCCTTGGGCCGAGATATTTGCATGCGGCCCTCGGGTTGGTCACCTTTGTATTAAAACCATCTAAAAATATCCAGATTTAGATCTAGCATCTAAACAACATTTGCTGACATCCAGACTGAACAAAGTGTATCTAGATAAAGATGCTGCTATAATATCCTGTTTTTGGCAGCATTGGTCTTCCTTGGTCTGAGCAGTTGTTTGTTCTTGCTTTAAAAGCCAAGGTGCAGTAGGTAGCACGCTGACCCTTTACGTCTGAGCAGTTGTTTGTTCTTGCTGTAACAGCCAAAGTGCAGTAAATAGCACGATGCCCCTTTACGTCTGAGCAGTTTGTTCTTGCTGTAACAGCCAGAGTGCAGTAGGTAGCACGTTGACCCTGTCATTCAATCTGGTGAACGCCAAGGCGTTTGAAAATTAGCATATCACGCTGTAAACCGGGTTTTTATGTGACTTCAGACTATTATGCCCATGACTTGTGACTATTATACCGTGGCTTGGGACTATTATACCGTGGCTTGGGACTATTATACCGCTGTGGAAGCAAAACCCATTTCCGAGACGCCCCTCTATTCATATCGACTTTGAGTGTTTCCTCGTTTTGTTGACACCTTCAGCGTTATTTTCTTACACGGGTTTCTCGTGATTGAACTCGGGTATTTCAGCTTATAAAAGTAAATAAGTCCGCACTGTTCTCTTCAACAGCTCATTTCGTAGAGCTGAGTTTTAAACATCACATAGTCCTCTTGTCCCTCCTGCTCTGTTTATAAATTCAACACACAAGTGCATTGTGCATTCTAATGACGGTTAAGAGTTAAGGGTCTAGGTTTTACTGGGAGGACCCTGGCTACAGGCTTTCACTTCATTCAGACACATAGTCTGTGTTGGAATTAACCATGATTCAAGGAAAATACATGTTCTTGACCTAAGGCCATCTAAATTCAAATGGATTTATTTTCCAATGCACCTACCTTGTTATAATTGGTGATAAACCTTTTGGGTTTCCCCAATTCCTGGTCAGCCGAGCGACTGGTGAAGATTGTGCTGCTGGGCCCGATGGTCCAGTTACTGGCTGTAAGACTTTGATCTCCCATCCTTGACCCGCTCATCGCGTAGCCAATATCTACATCTGACAACATCACAAGGGTTGAAGTTGTTGCAAAACACACATTTAAAAAAATCAACATGAATAAATCTCGTCTTGACACAAACACAACTAAAAATAATTACCCGGTAAACATTTCAGAAAAGTTCAAAATGGCAGACGCCAAATGTTTGGCCAAAAAGCGAATTAGAGCACGTGCTTAGATACCCTCTCCCTCAGTGATTAGTTCAGAAATTTCCCCCCGGGGGGGGGGGGCATTTCAAAATTTATTTTTATGGGGGGGGGGGCGGGGCCAGTTTTTTTTTTTTTGGACATTTTTTTCTTGGGGGGGGGGGGCCTTTGGTTTTCCCCAGAGGGGGGGGGGGGGGGCCCCCCCCCCCCATTTATTGTTGGACATATTTTTGCTCGGGGGGGGGAGCACTTGGCTTTCTCCAGAGTGGGGGGGGCGGTGCCGCCCCCCCCCTCCGGAGATATAGCCGAAAGAAACCCTGCCCTCACTTGATTCCACATTTTGAGTTTAACCAATGTTAATTAAAACAACTTGTTTTATAACTAAACAACTTACCGAGGGCGTCAAACTTGTTTGGTCTCATGGTTGTTGTTGTTGTTGTTGTTGTTTGTCCAGCACGTGACGTGCACACATGTATTGCTAAAAAATTGGATCCATTGAAAGGAAATCTGGTCAATTGGCAAAGCTAGAGTTCACGCGACGTTATTTCAGTCCAAGCTGAGGGTTTGTTGTTTACGATCCGCTGGGTGACATAGATTGCTCCGCTTGGTCAATGACCCAATCACACCGCTAACCCAATCACACTTCTGCACTATTCCACGCCAGTTATTTCACAGCTGGTATCGAGATAGCGGGACACCGATTCAGCAAATGTATAATTGGAAATGCAGATCTTTAGATATCTCCTTGGAACTCTGTAGACGAAAATATATTATTTTCTTCAATATAGTAAACAATTCGTGACGCCATATATTAATAGTTTTACAAAGTGTTCAAAATCCCCACGTAAATGTTATCCACTATTTAGTTATAGAAAGTGCCACATTTAGAGTGGTGTTCAGATATGGAGTCCTCGCGACTGGGATAAAGTCTAACTCACGTGTCAATGACGCGGTCTGGGATGATACCAATCATCCGACAGATGCTATGATGTAAACAGCAACAGTTGTTACGGAGTTAGACCGTCTGCATCATCCATTAGATTTACACGGCACATTGCAAACATGTTGCAAAAAGAGGAAGGCAGAAACAAAATCTAAGGTACACAACAAAGATCCTGTTGAATGGGGTCAAACGAATTATTTGTACACACACAAACATCTAAGGTACACAACAAAGATCCTGTTGAATGGGGTCAAACGAATTATTTGTACACACACAAACATCTAAGGTACACAACAAAGATCCTGTTGAATGGGGTCAAACGAATTATTTGTACACACACAAACATCTAAGGTACACAACAAAGATCCTGTTGAATGGGGTCAAACGAATTATTTGTACACACACAAACATCTAAGGTACACAACAAAGATCCTGTTGAATGGGGTCAAACGAATTATTTGTACACACACAAACATCTAAGGTACACAACAAAGATCCTGTTGAATGGGGTCAAACGAATTATTTGTACACACAAAAACACACACACATTTGATTTATCTACAACTGAACATAAAATTAACGCCAGTGGAATTCTACTAGTAAAATAATCACCACTGTTACGTGAACATTCTTCATAGAGTGTTGAGGAGCGCACGTTGGTAGTAAAGAGAGTCATTAACAGTTATTTGATCAAATATCGACCCAAAGCTGGACGCAAATCAATAACTGGCTCACAAGACTGTGGCCTTATCGCCGCTAACCATACCATTGTAGTTCATAGAACAAACGATGCTATTGTAGTTCATAGAACAAACGATGCTATTTTAGTTCATAGAACAAAAGATGCTATTGTAGTTCATAGAACAAAAGATGACAGTCTATTGTAAGACACGTAACTAAAGTTGATATTGTTTTCATTTTTCCTCATTTTGGAGAATTTGTCAACGGAGAAAATTATTTAAAGATCTCAAGAACTTGAATTAAAATCATTAGTAGAGTTTAGTATTGTAGTCAGTAGATGGAATCTATCGTCAAGTCCACTTTAAACATACACCCATAGTATTGTACTATAGTATGTACTGTTGTAGAATTGTAGAAGGTGGTTTTCATTTTCAACTCTTTAAAACTATATATCTGACACACTGAAAAAAAACAACACCATACAATGGTTAGCTTTTTGTTCCATTTCACTTAGACATTGATTCAAAATATACACACTCCAAGTTCCAACATGGCATTAAATATTTCAGATGGTAGGTTCGCGGTGCATGTGCGATTTATTATGTGTAAGTAAGTTTAAATCAAGCGAGAATTAAAATGGTCACAGGTAGAGTTCCAAACATTTATTTAGAATTTTTTTTTGTTTTTTTTAGATGATGAAGACCACTAAAATAAAAAGTGTCGGTTGGGGGGAGAAAAGAAAAGGAGAGAACCAGAGTCAAATTTAAAGCAATCTTCCGGTGTTTGTAACTAAACTATTCGAAAAACTACGTGCAAAAGCAACTTAGCCGATAAGGTGAGATGGACAGCTAAAGCTTCTCACAGATTGGTACTCAGTGGCGAACCTAGGAGGGTTGCGAATGGGCCACCATCAATGTTTCCTCTAAGGTTTGTTGGTTCGTGTGCAAAATCATACAGTTGTGTGCTAAGTTTTACAGCATCAATTTTTTTGTGTGCAAAATTCTGCAGCCCACAAATACAAACGTACATGGAAATTTGCTGCGCGGCTGCTCAAAACTGCTGCGAGGCGTCTGTGAGACAGCAGCTTACGATATCGGGCGGCAATTTTTGGACTGATCTATAAACATATAAATGTTGTGTGTGTGTGTGTTAAAAAATAGGTGGAGATCTTTTGAAAGTTCGCCCCCCGCCCTTCCGGCGGCATTTAGTCGAGGGAGGTACGCCACTGATACTAGTATTTTAAATCGACGTCTTTTTTCGGAAAACGAAAAGTTGAAAATAACTTTCTTAAAAACGTCGGATTATTTCTAGTTATATTTTAATTTTTATTATTATACATAAGTTTACAAAAAGAATTGTAGTATGCCTAATAATAGGCAGTTTCCCCGGGTGCTGACCGGCAGGTGAACTATTGCATGGGAAATTAAATGACGTCTCCCTTTAGTGCAAGCGTGACGCTCCTCCATTGAATACTTTAAGCCACGTCACAGATGAGGGTCCGATTGTTAAAGTGGCGATCAGTTTTTTCCCCCGATCTAGGCATAAGGTTCATATCCACATGTTTGTGCGGTAGAGTAGCGCAAGTTTCTATCTCCTTTTATTCCTAAAAACCCTGATTGGATGAAACACCCTGAAAGAGAAAGTCTCTCCGAACCCCGTTCTTGGACCAGGCTGCTGATTTGTCTCTGGCCTCCACTAGAGCTGACCCTCATCCACCAAGGCAGACGTGTCGACGCGTCACCCCCGATCAGACCTGAGATTAAATGAGTGTTTCCTCACAAGTTTCCACGGGGCGCCTCTCCCAGCAAGCCTGCGGGTGTTGTGCCGTTACTATGGTGACGCAATAAACGCGGAGTAAGGATGATCAACCATTCAGGCGGTAGTACCATCCGTAATGGCGTATTCATCGCAACACCGAACAGTTTGTCAGCAAGAGTCATTTTAACAAAACAGAGGAAAAAAAAAACTGCAGAGATAAGAAACAAAAATTTGTTTACAAAATGTAGTTATGATAGGCAGAGCCGTCGCTTGACATTTGTAGGAGACACGCCCCTTTACTGCATTATGCCCCACTGCATTCAAAGGTGGCAGAGTAAAAAATGTCAAATGAAAACTTTGGTTCCTTTACATATCCGAGACTCCTTTACTTTCAGACAGAGAGAGCTCATTTATAATTGCCTCTACGAGACTCCTTTACTTTCAGACAGAGAGAACTCATTTATAATTGCCTCTACGAGACTCCTTTACTTTCAGACAGAGAGAACTCATTTATAATTGCCTCTATTTCAGGAAGAACATTCCACATTTCATTTCTGAAAAAGCAGCCCTCATTTCAGATAAGCATTCCTCATTTAGGACCGAGCATTCCTCATTTTAGACAGAGCATTTCTCATTTTAGGACAGAGCATTCCTCATTTTAGACAGAGCATTTCTCATTTTAGGACAGAGCATTCCTCATTTTAGACAGAGCATTCTTCATTTTAGACAGAGCATTCCTCATTTTAGACAGAGCATTCCTCATTTTAAACAGAGCATTCTTCATTTTATACAGAGCATTCCTCATTTTAGACAGAGCATTCCTCATTTTAGACAGAACATTCCTCATTTTAGACAGAGCATTCTTCATTTTAGACAGAGCATTCATCATTTTAGGACAGAGCATTCCTCATTTTAGACAGAGCATTCTTCATTTTAGACAGAGCATTCCTCATTTTAGACAGAGCATTCCTCATTTTAAACAGATCATTCTTCATTTTATACAGAGCATTCCTCATTTTAGACAGAGCATTCCTCATTTTAGACAGAGCATTCATCATTTTAGGACAGAGCATTCCTCATTTTAGACAGAGCATTCATCATTTTAGGACAGAGCATTCCTCATTTTAGACAGAGCATTCATCATTTTAGGACAGAGCATTCCTCATTTTAGACAGAGCATTCATCATTTTAGGACAGAGCATTCCTCATTTTAGACAGAGCATTCATCATTTTAGGACAGAGCATTCCTCATTTTAGACAGAGCATTCATCATTTTAGGACAGAGCATTCCTCATTTTAGACAGAGCATTCATCATTTTAGGACAGAGCATTCCTCATTTTAGACAGAGCATTCATCATTTTAGGACAGAGCATTCCTCATTTTAGACAGAGCATTCATCATTTTAGGACAGAGCATTCCTCATTTTAGACAGAGCATTCATCATTTTAGGACAGAGCATTCCTCATTTTAGACAGAGCATTCATCATTTTAGGACAGAGCATTCCTCATTTTAGACAGAGCATTCATCATTTTAGGACAGAGCATTCCTCATTTTAGACAGAGCATTCATCATTTTAGGACAGAGCATTCCTCATTTTAGACAGAGCATTCATCATTTTAGGACAGAGCATTCCTCATTTTAGACAGAGCATTCATCATTTTAGGACAGAGCATTCCTCATTTTAGACAGAGCATTCATCATTTTAGGACAGAGCATTCCTCATTTTAGACAGAGCATTCATCATTTTAGGACAGAGCATTCCTCATTTTAGACAGAGCATTCATCATTTTAGGACAGAGCATTCCTCATTTTAGACAGAGCATTCATCATTTTAGGACAGAGCATTCCTCATTTTAGACAGAGCATTCATCATTTTAGGACAGAGCATTCCTCATTTTAGGACAGAGCATTCATCATTTTAGGACAGAGCATTCATCATTTTAGGACAGAGCATTCCTCATTTTAGGACAGAGCATTCATCATTTTAGGACAGAGCATTCCTCATTTTAGGACAGAGCATTCATCATTTTAGGACAGAGCATTCATCATTTTAGGACAGAGCATTCATCATTTTAGGACAGAGCATTCATCATTTTAGGACAGAGCATTCATCATTTTAGGACAGAGCATTCATCATTTTAGGACAGAGCATTCATCATTTTAGGACAGAGCATTCTTCATTTTAGGACAGAGCATTCATCATTTTAGGACAGAGCATTCATCATTTTAGGACAGAGCATTCCTCATTTTAGGAAAGAGCATTCCTCATTTTAGGACAGAGCATTCATCATTTTAGGACAGAGCATTCCTCATTTTAGGACAGAGCATTCATCATTTTAGGACAGAGCATTCATCATTTTAGGACAGAGCATTCATCATTTTAGGACAGAGCATTCCTCATTTTAGGACAGAGCATTCATCATTTTAGGACAGAGCATTCATCATTTTAGGACAGAGCATTCATCATTTTAGGACAGAGCATTCATCATTTTAGGACAGAGCATTCCTCATTTTAGGACAGAGCATTCATCATTTTAGGACAGAGCATTCATCATTTTAGGACAGAGCATTCCTCATTTTAGGACAGAGCATTCATCATTTTAGGACAGAGCATTCATCATTTTAGGACAGAGCATTCCTCATTTTAGGACAGAGTGCCCCTCTCATCTTATTCTGGGTTTCGTGTCCCTTCGTGAGATTTATCAAAGATTCAACTTCAGCCTTTTAGGGGCTTGTCATTGGTTGTAATCACATCACAGCCTTTCTAGCTACCCCACTACAACAGTCATCACCTTGTGTTGGCTAGAAATACATAAAACGAGACATATCCCCTGTTAAAATAATAATGGAAGCTTGTTTTTGACTTGGTCAAATTAATTCTTACATTTAGGAAGAAAAAAAAAAAAAAACAGTTACCAGGGTTACCAGGGTTATGCCACGTGTGTCCGACGCAAATTATGAAATGTTGTGGGTAATTATTCGAAACAATTACGCAACTATCATTTTTGTATGGATAGTCTCGTCACAAAATATTTTTTCGCTGTTTTTTGTTTGTTTTTGCAATAGGCGCAACTCCGCGCAACGTCTGACACTGTCCTTTTGAATTAAAGTGCACAGTAAGTGTAACTGAAAAACTTATATGTGCATAAATGAGGTTTTAGTTTTAACGAAACTAGTTAATTGCAAAGCCACCTCAAATAATATGTGTACGACTCGATCAGTTACAGCTAGCACCGTACCATCACCTAGATTATATATGACTAGATCAGTTATAGCTGGCACCGCACCATCACCTAGATTATATATGACTAGATCAGTTATAGCTGGCACCGTACCATCACCTAGATTATATATGATTAGATCAGTTATAGCTGGCACCGTATCATCACCTAGATTATATATGACTAGATCAGTTATAGCTGGCACCGTATCATCACCTAGATTATATATGACTAGATCAGTTATAGCTAGAACCATACTATTACCGAGATTATATGACTAGATCAGTTATAGTTAGCACCGTACCATTACCTAGTTTATATCACTTATACTTATACACCCATGGTTTTTAGCATTTAAAAATCGTTACGTTATTTGTGACTAGGCCCACTAGAATATTAACAGGGGTTCAAGGAAAAAAACAACAAACAACATATCGAAAACAACAATATCGAAATGAGTACAATTGACTACAATAACAGACATGACTTGTGTCTTTCGTTACGGGTCGCAGATAAGAAGCCTACCTGTTGGTGCTGAACACTTAGTGTACATTTAGGTGTCCAAATTGGGTTTGACGCCATACGCCATGAAGTGAACCGACAACACGCCCAGTGCAGCTAGAAGTAACTCTGGCTGGTGAATGATACCCTATTACCATTACTACAACACACCCACGTTCTCAAACTCGAGCGGGAAAGACGCCAGGGGAACACATGCGTTTGTTTTGGGGGTGGGGTGGATGAGGGGAGGGGGGTGGGGAGTGTGGGTGAAAACATTTTATCCTCATTTATTTTCATTTCTTTTGTCCAGACGTGAATAGCGTCTAATCCAGGCCGTGGTTTAGAGTTTTTAGGAAAAGTAGAAAGTTCACATTCAAAAGGACACACCCCCCCCCCACACACACACACTAAAAAAAAATTAAAGACGCTAGAAACCGACCGAAAGTGATTTTATGATTTCGGCCGAAACCGATACCAGGCCGAAATTTAAAAATGACTTTCGGTCGAAACCGACATTAAACCGAAAGTTAACATTTCTGTTTCGACCGAAGCCGAAAATAAAAAGCACTTTAAATTTTTGGTTTCGGCCGAAACCGAAGCCGAAACTGATATATTTAGGTATTTTGAAATTCGTCCACGCATACATTCTACATACATAAAAAAAATGATGGGGGGAAGTATCAATATTTACATTATTTTTTTTAACAAATGAGATCATCGTGAATATTAATAAATAAACACGTAATGAATACTTTGGCTTTTACTGTTTTATTTTAAAAGTAATTTAAATTTCTTAAAAATGTTTTTTAAGTAGTATGATAAGAGAAAATTTGCACGGGGGGGGGGGGGAATTTCATGCAAAAAAAACACTTGAGTGCTTTTTTCTTTTTTAAAATATTTAAAATCTTTTCCTTTATAAAATAATTAAAATCTAGAACATAGACCTATAATAATTATTGTGGCTCTAATAAAGTCAATTGTCACCTAAATATCAATTATTAAGGTTATAGAAATATCACAACAATGTTTCGCGGTTTTCGTCATACTCATGCTTTGTGTTTTGCTAAATAGCTTGCAAGATATGCCTGTGTTCTTATTTAGCCTAGTACCAACACATTAGTCTTATCGTGCTGGTGACGTAATTATTGCGTTCGGTGACCGACTTCCCTCACCTCCTTCGGTGAGGGAAATAATTTTTTTTTTAAACCGAGTCTCTTAAAATAGTTCTTCTGACGGGTCTCGACGGAGAATCGCAAGACATCTAAATTGGTCGCCTAAATCATAAAAAATAAACATGTCTGGAGTAGGCCTACTACATAATTATAATAGAAGCCAGTGATACATGCACATACTTCTTGTTTGGTCAATAACAATTTTTATAAGCATGATAAAGATGAATTTCAAGAAATAAATAAATTGAAAAAGTCTAGGTTTCTTAATTAAAAAAAAAAATAAAAAAATAATAGGAGAAATATTATCTTTCCCTAGGGTTATGCAATATTATCCACCTTTGCCTTTCACAAAATTGATGAGCATGATAATGATACATCAAAATGAAAATCACAAATGAAAGAATTGAATAAACCTAGAGTTCCAAATTTTATTTTTGAACAAATTAAAACAAAAAATAATGATGTAAAATATTATCAATTCACTAGTTCTTCTTGCACAAAACTGTTTACATTTGCCTAGGCCTAATTCAAATTTATTTTTTGGGAAACCAAGGACAAGTAGGTCATCATGCAAGTGTTGCGAGCAGTTTTCGCGGAGTATTAGTCATATAACATACGATGACAGCAAGACGTCGAGCAATAATGATTATCGGATTGTCTGCCTAGAGACAGACAGTCTCACCTCTGGAAGATGACCGAAAAACCCAGTCACTTACGGCCACTTGCGAAAGTCTCTGGTCGAAAGTCCCAATCACTTTCGTCTGAAACCGAAATTAAACCGAAAGTTAACATTTCAGTTTCGGCCGAAGCCGAAATTAAACCAAAATTTAACATTTCAGTTTCGGCCCTAACCGATATTAGGCCGAAAGTGATCAAATGGCCACTTTCGGCGCCGAAACCGAAGCCGAAATTCGCTCGGTAAGAAACATAAAACTACATCATTAAGAACCAGATCACTTAAATAAAAGCATAATTCTTTCCTGATGTCCATCGTAGCAGTTTTTAAAGATAATGGAAATTCCAAGCCATTATTACTCAGATGATGGAAACAGCACTATTTTCGGCTGATCTCGTGGGGCAGTCTTCTCTCAAGATTTCCCTGCAAAAATTATATGACAGAAGATCCCTACGATCATATTTAGCCCACACCCACGTTGCAAATTTGACCACAAGAAAGACTACACCAAAAACCCCGTGCTGTCGTATTTGATGTATAGCATGTCATTCTTTTCTGTTGTCCCAGTCATTGATGTGGCGTGCGAACGACGAACGGGTTGTTTCAAGTAAAAACGAAGTGTACACATTGTGAACAATACACAGTGTACACACCCTTAACACACACCATCTGCAGTGGTCAACATATTTTTAAAAAAAATGACTAAGGTCGAAGCAAGGAAATCCAAAATTTTTCTCAGTTTGGTGACTTAAAAAAAAAAAAGGAATAAAATTCTATCGGAGAGTAGTGTTTGATCTTGTTCATTTTAAAATCGTAACATAATTTGACCGTGTGTCTTCTCGTCGTATGCAAAAAAAAAATTGTATATCGATAACATTCATTTTCGCTGTAACTTAAAATGTTAATTTTCCTTAAAATTCCTATTGAAGTACTCACATTTTAACATCGTGTAAGGCAACTTGGTAACTCACCGATACCAATCTTCAATACCAACTGGTATTCTACGTCGCTCGTTTACTCCATCCACCACCAGTGAGAAAATTACCGCCAGATCTTGGGACATTTAAATTTTGAATGCGGTGCTGGGCTGAGGAGATCCTCCATGTAGTCACAAATCGCCCGGAAGTCGGCCGCAGTGACGTTGGAGACCAAGTTTACGTCACACTTCCCTTATAAGACAGCCGTGAATCACAACTGCCATAGACGATGACGTAAACAGGTGGGAGGACCAGAGGAGACTCTGCTGAATGAGCAGGTATTAAGCAGTAGAGCAGCGTTCCCCCCCCCCCGCCCCTGCCTTACCTATTTTTAGGCTCACCTGAGCAACTAAAATGGTAAATGCCATCCCTAGTGGAAGTTTAAAAAAAAGGTCTCCAAGCTCTTGCCAGGTAGCCAGGCATATTTGCGTTGTGGACAGTAGCCCGCCCCCCCCCTCCGGAAACACCACAGAAAAGGGATAGGAAAAGTTCAAGCCTTGAGTTAAAATAAGTTCATCCGATATTTACCTATCAAGGGGGTGTATTAATGCGCGGTAGTAGCGACATATCATCCCCCTTCCATGCCAGTCTAGCTTTAGAATCACATTCTTGTCTAGTAGTGGGACGTCATTTAGTCACATGACTTGGTGGAGACATATTTATAATATTATGCATTGATTAAAGTAAACGATGTCATTAAATGACTACGGAGATAGGTGGGGGATGATATTGATGACCAAGTTTACACAGCTGACACCCAGCGATACTCACAAAATGCGGGCCACTCCCTACTCCATTAGCACACGTTTTGCGTAACAGTTAATTAATAGCGAATCTCGTACTTTATGAAAACTTTTTAATTCAAACAAAGTAATCCTACATGACAGTGTTTCTAACCTTTCTACAATCCGCACCTGCCCCCTACCCCTACCTTCTTTAAGAACAATTTGACGATGCTCGCACCCCCTATAAATTGTTTCACTAAGTCTCACACCACCTAAGAATTGTTTTACTAAGTCTGACACCGCCTATGAAATGTTTCACTAAGTCTCAAACCCTCTATGAATTGTTTCACTAAGTCTCGCACCCTCTATGAATTGTTTCTCTAAGTCTCAAACCCTCTCTGAAATGTTTCACTAAGTCTCTCACCTTCTATGAACTGTCTCACTAAATCTCACACCGCCTATGAACTGTTTCACTAAGTCTCAAACCGCCTATGAATTGTTTCACCAAGTCTCACACCGCCTATGAATTGTTTCGGTAAGTCTCACACCGACTATGAATTGTTTCACCAAGTCTCACACCACCTATGAATTGTTTCACCAAGTCTCACACCGGCTATGAATTGTTTCACCAAGTCTCAAACCGCCTATGAATTGTTTCACCAAGTCTCACACCGCCTATGAATTGTTTCACCAAGTCTCAAACCGCCTATGAATTGTTTCACTAAGTCTCACACCGCCTATGAATTGTTTCGCTAAGTCTCACACCGCCTATGAATTGTCTCGCTAAGTCTCACACCGCCTATGAATTGCCAAGTCTCACACCGCCTATGAATTGTTTCACTAAGTCTCACACCGCCTATGAATTGTTTCACTAAGTCTCACACCACCTATGAATAGTTTCGCCAAGTCTCACACCGCCTATGAATTGTTTCGCCAAGTCTCACACCGCCTATGAATTGTTCCACCAAGTCTCGCACCCTCCACAAAATGACAATGCAATTTAAAATGAAGGAAATAAAGGACTTCTAATTCATTTATTGAACTGTGAAGAGAACTGGAGATGTGTTGTTTTATTTAGTAAAGGAAAATGAACAGTTAAGGAAGAAATATTAGAAAAAATGAACATTTGTATCACAATTAGACCTTTTTTTTTTGCTCGGATCTATCATCCCTTTTTTCCCCCTGGCATCTCCAGGAAACGCCACCTCGCACCCTCTGGGAATGCAGGCACCTACTTTATAGTAAGTAACGGCTCCGATGAAAATAGTGTGTCACATGATGGACTCGCGTCATTATCCATTCTATGGGGAAATCTCGTTACGACGCGATAACTGGGGTCAATAAAATAGGATAGCGATACTGAGACTGTGATTAACTATCCAAAAAAAAAAAAAATTATAAATTTGTTTAGTCACCTCTATTAAATTCTAGAGATAGCCACCCAGATATAGAATAGATGAGATCTCCAAGGTGGGAATTGGGCCAGCTTACTTATCGGTATCTTAATATTCCAAATACTCGACACTCTTCAACGTCTTACCTGGGGGTTACCTGTGGTGTTACCGAGGTGATCTGAAAGGTAACGCCAACTGGGGCGCTTGTAATTTTTAGTGACATTTTTTTGTCCAAAGTTTGATGCACGGCGCAGTCAGTCCTAGGAATAGTTGAACACATAAACACATGCCCCCCCCCACGCCCTCTCAGGCACACTGTTGACATGTGACGCCCAATGGAAATGTTTACTTTAATCTGAGTCATCCATATCAAGGACTGGAGGATATTTCAATGCACCTTCGACTATGGCGGCTTCGCTCTATCGCGGTTTCTTCAAATACTGGATCTTCATTAAAAAGTTGATCGAGGCAGTGAAAAGGATGCAGCGCGCGCTAGGCTGTCTGAGTCAATTATACATGTTAGTTGCCGCACGTGAGTAGCAGCGGTGATGAAACATTCGTCCCGGGTTTTATTAAAAGTGTGATGAATATCAAGGGGCTAATAATACACCCCCAGAATTACAATAAAAATTAAAAATTACTGTACGTATGGACTGTAATATTCGATTTATAAATGAAGAACCCAAGCTCGAAGAGATTCACCGATCGCGGTAGAGTCTGGGACTGATTAACCGCGATGAAAATGGGACGACTGTATACAGAGACCTTTCTTTGGTAGGCCTACAAGGTAGAGACAGGCAGTGGAGTAGCTAGAGTTTGTGGTATGATACCCGGGGCTGTCCTTGATTTTGCCGCCCCCAATTAACGAAAACTAATATGCATCCATAATGCATGTGCAAAAAAGCTAGACTATGTAAGGTATACGAAGTGGCACGACCCCATGAAATTTGTCTAAAATGTGATATTTTTCATTTATGCCCCATTTTTCATTTCAGAATTCTTTTAACAACAAAGGATATCTCCAATTTTTTATATTTTTTAAAACTGTGTTCTGTTTCTTGCTGTATTTTCATTCATTGAAGAAGGCTCTAAGCCGAAACTTTCATATCGTGTTGTCCTGTCTGTTGATTCAAACTTCAACATATCTTGTTCTACTATTCCATTTACAGAGCTTGAACGCAGTCCTTCAATTAATATCTTAAATACTATATACAGTGATCGAACTAGTTTATTACATGTTACTACGCTCTGGCACACTCAATAAAAGTCTGAATACATCGATCACAACAGAAAAGCTCAATATTAATTTCATGTTTAGTATGTATGATAAAAAGTTTGACTCACATAAGATCTCTCCCCCCCCCCCCCCAGTCTTACAATATCAAGACACCCTCCCCCTTGCCCCTCGGGGGTGTGGTGTTACTTTATGGATGGCCCCTTTAATTCATTACCTAATATTCATGTTTAGTATGTATGATAAAAAGTTTGACTCACATAAGCTCCCTTCCCCCCCCCCCCAGTCTTACAATATCAAGACACCCTCCCCCTTGCCCCTCGGGGGTGTGGTGTTACTTTATGGATGGCCCCTTTAATTCATTACCTAATAATACTTTAAAAAAAATCAATACAGGTTTTTCTTTATAAATTCACTTTATTCCATTTAAACATGATTTTTTTAAAGGAAAATAATTAAGTAGGATTATTTGAACCCATGCAATTCTTACGTAGTGTGTAGCTAGTGACGTCATTGCACATTCCACCATTTTAAAATCTTTGTTTACAAATTTACCATTACGTTTCCACCATGAAGCGGCATCTCACTAACAGCTGATTTAAATATTACAAAGGTGGGATGCCCTGGGTTCATTCGGTGCACTGGGTCCGTTGTGTGCACTGGGTCCAATAGGTGCACCGGGTGTAGTCGATAGAACTATGCTTAGAAACAATTCAGCTGATGGCAATTTAAATTATCACAAATGCTAGAGATACAAAGGCTTGTTTAAAGTCGTTTGTTACAACATTAATATATTTATACTACCCAATGGCTGGTCAGTACGACCATCTATTTCGTTTACAGTGTAGTTGAATTAGTAAATCGTTAAAAAACATTCAAACATACGAAAAAATTAATTACGGTCTCACGGTAGCGGATAAAATATTGATGTAAAGTAGTAAAGCCTAGTTGAAAATATTGATGTAAAACCTAGTAAAATATTGATGTAAAGTAGTAAAGCCTAGTTGAAAATATTGATGTAAAACCTAGTAAAATATTGATGTAAAACCGTGTAGAAAATATCGATGTAAGACCTAGCAGAAAATATTGATGTAAAAGTTAGTTGAAGATATTGATGCAAAACCTAGTAGAAAATATTGATTTAAAACCTAGTGGAAAATATTGATTTAAAACCTTGTAGAAGATATTGATTTAAAACCTTACAGAAAATATTGATGTAAAACTTTGTTGTAACTCTAAGGATGCACCCAGCAGCAGTTGGCCTTCAGATACATGTTCTGAACACGAGTGGAGTGTGGTTGTGGGGGAGTGTGGTTGTTGGGGAGCGTGGTTGTGGGGGAGTGTGGTTGTGGGGGAGTGTGGTTGTGGGGGGGTGTGGGTGTGGGGGAGTGTGGTGGGGGGTGAGTGGGGATGTGGGTGAGTGTGATTGTGGGGGTAGTGGGGTTGTGGGGGGAGTGTGGTTGTGGGGGGCAAGTGTGGTTGTGGGGGGAAAATGTGGTTGTGGGTAGCTTTGGTGCGAGTTGAAGTAGTTCATAAAGAATCAGCAGAGACTAAAACCACATTTTTCTACTTTGCTATGAAAGTAAATGTCTTGGTGATCATCTATCGTGACTTAAACATACATGACAAAACGTATTTTCAATTCTTATGAAAGTGTCAGACCAACAATAGATTTGCGCACACAGTAGGGTGTATTGACAACTAACCATGATTTAAAATTAATATTGTTATGCTGTAAAAACAAAGGTAAATATAGCCGATGAATGGCTTGTCAGAGTACTTAGACAATAAGCTTTTTAAAAACGTCAGCAATATTTCATGCTTGCTGATCAAATTCTCAGGCACCCTCAGTTGAGGTCCCCAACCTGTTGAGATGGAGGTGACCCCAGGAAAAAAAAAAGTGA